AAGAATACCAAACATTGAGGGTGAGAAATGAGAATCTCAGTCTTCGGAAAAGATGATCAAGCTGAACGAGAAACATGTTTGATAAATTATTTATCTTTCTTCTGGTGTTGAGATCCTCTCTATTTCACTATGAAGGGGAAGAAAAATTATTATATATTAATATTACTTACTAAAATCATATTCATCCATTCTTGTATTTATTATAAAACATACTGGTGAAGGTGATAGGTTGTAACTTATGGCAAGAAGGTATGAAGAAGACAAATCATTGAAACTTTTTAGATATCCTATACAGCAAACTTAGACAAGTAAAAACTCTTTTCAACTTGAAAGTCTGAGTATACTAAACTGGGGATGTGCAATTATGATGAAAAAAGTTATCATTTCATCTATTACAGGACATCAATACAATCTCTGAATATCATGACAATATATTCAGTTACAGAGAAGATTTGTATAAAAATAAAAATACACTTTTGATAATTCAAAGTTAAAATTCTGTTCATCGTATGCCTGTTTCAAAAATATGTCTTTCATTATGACTATGTATAAACTATGAAAATTGACAAAATTGACAAAATTCTTCAACTTACCTTTGATTTTCTCATAAATTTCATGATTAATAATTGTCATCAAAAACCACAGGCTGTCATCTTTAATATATCAGGAACTACATACATATATTTGTATATACCTAAATATCAGAGAAAAAGAAAAAAAAAATTCCTACCAAAAAAACAAACTCTTTCGTTGTAAAACCTAAATCATATGCTAATTGCTAATACTCTATCATCGTACCACAATGGCAGTCTTACTTTTGAAAATTTATTATTTTCTTTGAACATTTCATCACAAACAATTTCTACAGATACATTACTAATGTATAACATACATATTTTTGCATTGCTATATTTCATTCTTCTTGTATATGATGGCCAACTAGAGAGTAACATCACTATTGTTAATTCACTAACTGGTCGAAACTGTTATAAACCCCTTTTGAACAGCTTATAGCTTGATTTTGTATGGCATATTTAAACACAGGGCTTCAATTTCTAGAGAAAAAATTCACATTAGTTGGCCCATATTTTACATGCTTACATTCAGTGTTAGCACTTTCTGTCAAAAATATGAACACTGTTTGTCAACCCTGTTTAATGAGAACACTGTTACCTCTGGTTAATGGTAACTATCACTGGTCTTAATATAGAAAATTTCTTGTGAAAAAAGAGCCTCTTCATTACACCTTTTTGTCAATCTTTTCAAATCTTTTATCCCCAGAAAAATGTTTTTTCCAGATGTACATAGTCTACATTATCCTCACTTATTTCAACTTATCTTTCATATTTTTTTTTATCTAAACCTTTTTCTTACATACAATAAAATGCTTTTAACGTACATTTGATTTAACTAACTTTTAATTTTTCTAACTTACATTTAATTTTATTAGCATACATTGATTTGTTCTTTAATCACCTGTATTTACATATCTTTGGTTGATGTGTTGGGACAATGGCAATGATTAAATAAAACCTTCAAAACCAAAGTCAACAAAACACTACATTAAATCAAGCAAAATCACTTCTTTATCTCAACATACAGGATATCTGAACACAGTGGATATATAGAATATCTCAATATATAGGATAACTCAACATGGAGGATATCTCAACATAGACGATTCTTAACAGAGAAGGTTTCTCCACAAAGAGAATATTTGAACAAATTGGATATCTCAACACATTGGATATCTCTGCACATTGGATATAGGATATCACAACACAATCTACACAGTGGATATCTCAACTTATTTGATATATTTACACAATGGATATCTCAACACATTGGACATCTCCACACATTTGATATCTCAAAACATTAGATACCTCAACACAATGGATATCTCAACACATTGTATATCTCAAGACATTAGATATCTCAACACATTGGATATCTCAACACATTGGATATCTCAACACATTGGATATAGGATATCACAACACACTCTACACAATGGATATCTCAACATATTTGATATCTCAACACTATGGATATCTCAACATATTGTATATCTCAACACATTTTATATCTCAAAACATTGAGATATCTCAACACATTAGATGTCTAAACACATTGGATATCTCTACACATTGTATATTTCAACACATTGGATATCTCTACACATTGTATATCTTAACACATTGGATATCTGAACAAATAGGATAACTTATAAGTGTATCAACACATCAGAACACAACTTAGAGAATAAATATATAATCAATCAGCAATATAATGAACACAAGCAAGTTACAAAATAAATCACCTTATTATGTCTAAGTTTACAGGTAGTTGTTTACCACAACAATACATTCATATGAAATTGCAAAATGTGATTACTGAAAATTAAAAAAAAAAAAAATGAAATATTAATGCTGTCAATTTGAATTCAAATATGTTGTTAAACGTTATATTATCGCTTTAAACTTTGATATTTTCTGCATCTATAAGATGGAAACTTCATACTTAATTAGGTTAATGTAACAAGTAACAATTGATCTGGAGGGATCTCCTCAACATAAGGTGCTCAAAACAGATTTCACTGTACCTCTTTTGTGTTAACATAACAAAGGTAGTATTGTGTAGTGCATCATCGGCAATCACACATGCAAAAAAAAAAAAAAAAAAAAAAAAACTTTCACTCCATGTACAAATGAAAATTCTCCATTAGGAAAAATATATGTTTTAAACATTTAGTAAAAAAGTTGATCCCGTGTACCCAGTGGAATGAGAAAAACGTGGTAATGAGTATCACAGACAGCACGTAAGTGTTCTGGTGTTTCGAAAAATACTTCTACCACTTTGTGTCATCCAATCACTGCAGGGGTCAAAGGTTATCTATTCCACACACAAAAGACACAGGTAGACATGTGTTAGAAGACTTCAAACATTTGTGTCACATGATCCTTTAATAGGTAAAATGTTATTGGTCGATGTGTATTATATAGAATTAAACTGTGATTTGTGGTTAAAGGTTTATTTTTATGTAAGGTAAGAAAGAAACATTCTGGTATAAATCTCTGGCATGATGTATCATCACTTGTTTGCCCTGAGTTTCTGACGTCATAAGTCACAATAATGGAATGATATTCAACTTGTGGCAGTTTAATTTCCTGATTCTTCTTGTTGTTTTATATATAGACCCTAAATATTCCTGAATTATGCCTTCAAGTAGTCATCATTTCCAACATTTATAACATTTATAAGACCTTCACCTCACTATACAAGTTGTGTCCATGACATGTTATAAACATTGAGTTTTCAAATTATCTGGACTTCATCCCTTGTAGTCACAAATCACTGACTTGGCTCAAACTTGAATTAAATTCAATTTAACCCCTGCAATAGTTTAAGTTCACACAAGTGGTGTAAAGTCTGAACATATATATTAAATATTTACCAAACCAGTGACAGAAACAGGCAGTAGATTATACAAAAATAATTTTTCCAAAAATATTTTCATCAAATGTATAAACAATGTATCAATATTAAATCTGTTCATCTGAAAATTAGTCTATTTATAGATGTTCTCACAGAACTTACAGGAAAATAACTTATCTGATGGACGGATTTTAGACAACGTCAAAGAAATTTCCAGACATTTTCAGGGACAAATTTCAAGAAGCTGTTACATGTACATGGGAACAAATGAACAAGGAAGCCAAAAATATAATTTACTTAGAATACCTTTACAGCATGGTTTGTTGAACTATGAAAAAAACCCAATATAAAAAAAGGATGGAGTAAGTGTAGCTGTTACGGGTGATTAATCATGTCTAGTTATCCACAAAAACTCATTTCTGTGAGTATATAAACTAAAGTAACGTACCTTAAATCACTAAATATTTATCAAAACATGTTTTACTTCCATTCAATGGTACCAAACTAAGCTAATTGCTATATACGTCTGCGTAATTATCACAGTCAAATCAGGAGGCGTATCAAACATGAAAACAATCAGGCCATTTTTTTAAATTTCTGTTTTAGTAGCTAGTCACGACAAAATCTTTTCAAGTGTATAAAGTAACGTCCCCATCTCACTACAGAAATGTCACTGGTTTGGTAAACAATTGTTTTTCATAGTTCTTGGGACTTGATGCATAAAAACAATCAAAAGCACATTTCCTTTGTCTTTCTTTCCTAAGATTCTACATTTATCACAAAAAACATTAATACATATTTACCACCACCATCCTTCGAAAAGGCTAGTCTTTTGTAAATTCTAACACAGGAAAGGCAGTCAATAGGTTTGTGTAAAGCAAAGACAAATCGGCGAAATTCTCATGCCGAATTCAATATAGATATACATATATCAAAAGTAATCTTTAAAGAATATAGATTTTTATTACTGAAATATTGTGCCAACGAAAAGTTAAGCTAATTGCAATTTGTATGTTTTTTTTTTTTTGCCATTTATCGTAGGTTTACCATTTCATCAAAGCCCCATTTGATTAAAATTTGATAATGCTTTATAACACATATACCAACAGTGTGTATAATCATTATGTAAAGCAACTCACACTTCCAGTAGACATCATAAAAGGTGGTTTGTTGGAATGCCAGAACTACATCTACAACTAGAAAATGTCTGGAAGACATAAATGCTCTCCCCTTGTATACATACCAGCACTATACGCTGAATCAGCAGAAGTTGTCAAATATAACCTTTGACCTTTCACCTTGTCCACCTTCATATGATAAGATGTAGAGCTATAATTTGATACTATGGTATGGTAATTGACAGACATGGGTAACATTACCAGGTATACATGCCCCCACCCCTCCCCTAAATAATGGCCAGGACATAAAAAACCCCAAAAAACCAAAAAACCTATTTCTTACAGTTGTGTTTACCGAGACTTTTATCATTATTATTTCTATTTTTCAAGGCAAGATATTTGAGTATCAAGGAAAATACAATTTTATTAGTAATTTCATAAATATTAACGTCGCATCAACCGTTTATCATACATATCATGCTCGTCGTCATCGGAGGTGTCATCATGGTATTCACGGGTCGTCGTTAAGAGGCTTGATTTCGATCCCATGTCATAGATTTCTGCCTCGTCATCATCATCGTTGAGACTAAGACGATGAAATCCCCCTTTGCCTGGCCCTCGTTTAGAGCGTACACACACTAACACAGTCACCAGAAGGACTATACTCAGGGTTATACTTCCTGTAATATAATACCAATTTCATCAGCTCATTTATAAAAATTGCATTCTAACTTTAAAATGTTGAAAATAATTAACTTACTTTGAACATTTTCATAATTTCTTCAGTTAGGAAATTGTTTTTAGATTCAGTGGTAATTTATACAAAAGACCAGAGAACCCTGGGGCCTGCATCGCTCACCAGGATAATTTAGGTATTCAGCCCTTTAACAAATAATTTCAAATATGACAAATAATTTCTAGAATTATTTATCCATTTGGTCCCTATCTTGTGATCAAACATCGAATTGCTTCAGACCAAACTTGGACAATATCCTTGTACAGAAAAGAAGGATTTTCAAGAACTTACATTTCCCCCAATTGGGCCTCATCCCTAACACCTAAGGGGGCCTGGATGCATGGTTTATACATTATTGATAACCCTTCACCCCAAGAATACTTCAGACCAAAGTTGGGCAAAATCCAATCATTCCTACAGGAGGAGCAGAATTTTAAAGAATTTATTCCATTTCCCTTGTTAGGCCATGCCCCTCCCTCCCACGGGGGAAAAGACCTACCATTTATACGAAATTGATTCCCCTTTCCCCTACAATACTTCAGACCATATTTGGGAAAAATCCTATCATTCCTACAGGAGGAGTAGGATTTTAAAGAATTTGTTCCATTTCCCTTGTTAGGCCATGCCCCTCCCTCCCACCGGGGAAAAGACCTACCATTTATACGAAATTGATTCCCCTTTCCCCTACAATACTTCAGACCATATTTGGGAAAAATCCTATCATTACTACAGGAGGAGTAGGATTTTAAAGAATTTGTTCTATTTCCCCTGCCCTTTAGGTGAGCTAAAATGTATTGAGGTCACTTTTTTTATTCTATCACAATTTAGAAAATCTAGAAACTTTACCTGCAACTAAACTTCTGGGGATATTGAATTGGAGAGGATCAAATAGGAATGGATGGACTAGGGAAAAGCAAGGAAACGTGAAGCAAGACAAAAGATAAGAAAAGTGTAGTGGGAGAAAGAGAGGAAAGGTGAAGTGGGAGAGAAAGAGGAAAAGTGAGAGAAAGGGAAGAAAGGTGAGAGAAAGAGAGGAAAGGTGGGAAAAAGACAGGAAGGTTGAGAGAGAGAAAGGAAAGGTGAGAGAAAGGGAGGTAGGTGAGAGAAAGAGAAGAAAGGTGTAGTGGGAGAAAGACAGGAGAGGTGAGAGAAAGAGAGGAAGGGTGAGAGAAAGGGAAGAAAGGTGAGAGAAAGAGAAGAAAATTGAAGTGGGAAAAAGAGAGGGTATGTGAAGAGGGAGAAATAAAGGAAAGTTGAAGTGGGAGAAAGAGAGAAATTATGAAGTGGGATAATTTGGGAAAGTGAAATGGGAGAAAAATACTTACCTAGAATTGCAACTATAGCGAATGTTGTTATAATTAGTTCAGATTTCTTTGTTTCCATGGCAATATTCATTTGCAGTGTTTTAGGTTCACCATCAGCAATAATCACATTCTGAAAACAGACAATTTTGTAACTACAATATCTGTTAGTTATTTTGAGAATCCTGTGAAGTTGCGCTTAAAACATGATTTTCTTTTACAAAAATAAGAAAGATAGGAATGCCTTAACATTATTGTTGGTTATATTGAATCTTTCATACATCCTTAAACTGCCTAAACTCCTCACACCCATCTGGTCTGTTGTGCTAATCAGACCTCCCCCACCCCTTAAACATTTGTGTTTGGATATCCAAATTATAAAATAGCCTCTTCCTGTCTATTGCCTTAACTCCTCACACCCATCAAGTCTATTGTGCTAATCAGACCTCCCCCATCCCCATCTGTGTCTGGATATCCAAATTATAAAATAGTCTTCTCCGTCTATTGCCTAAACTCCTCACACCCATCAAGTCTATTGTGCTAATCAGACCTCCCCCCCCACCCCCATCTGTGTCTGGATATCCAAATTATAAAATAGTCTCCTCCGTCTATTGCCTAAACTCCTCACACCCATCAAGTCTGTTGTGCTAATCAGACCTCCCCCCCCACCCCCATCTTTGTCTGGATATCCAAATTATAAAATAGTCTCCTCTGTCTATTGCCTCAACTCCTCACCCCCATCTAGTCTTTTGTCCTCCCCCTTCTCCCCCTCCCTTCAACACAAACTGATTGACGTACCTTTTTCAGAGTCTCATGTCCTTCACAATTGATCGCCAGTGTGTAGTGGCCAGGGGGCAGATACAGGCTGTAGTGACCATTTACATCTACTGGATACTGATGTAGGGAACCGACTACCGTGACAGTTGCATTGACCATAGGTTTCTCTTGACTTCCCTCATAGATATATCCCTTTATACCACGTGTTGCCTGCAGAGTAAATACAGCATAACAATGGTCTTAAGGTTTCAATAGTAATATCACTCATACTTCCTTGTAGATTCCTCTCTATTTTACATTATTTCTGAATCAAAGGCCAGCTATACAATTATTATCTGAATAAATTAAATTATTACATAAGACATCTGTTTATGGGTATCTCAGTTACGAAATGCTTACTGAAATTATGATATTTAAGCCAGAGTGTTATAATTTTTTCTGGATATTATATGGGTCATTTTTTTATGCTCTCTGAAGGGGAAGCATATAGTCAGCATTTGTCTGTCCATCATACTTTTGTCCAGAGCATAACACTAAAACTTTATGAGGTATCAACATAAACTTTATAAGCAGATAGATCTCAACAAAGAGAAGTTCAGTGCACAAGAACCATCACTAATTTTTGCATAATTTAGGAGTTATTGCCCTTTTGTTATTTTCCATACTTAAACTTTGTCCAGAGTGTTACACTAAAACTAAAAGAGGTGAACTTCTTAGGTAGGTAGACCTCAACAAGGAGGAGGGCAGTGCACAAGAACCAAAACTCCCTTATTGCCCTTTGTTATTTTTCATACTTAAATTTTGTCCCAACTGGAGAGCAGAAACCGTCTCTGACGGCCCTTATTTATTTAAGCTGGTGCTTTTAATTTCACACATGAAAAGTTACTTTGATTATGACATCACAATTAATCTATTTCTTTTACAATGTTGTTATCTGTGCTCAACTGAAAACAAACAACTGACAATTCAGTATCAAAAATCCCTTGCTCAATTGTAGGTTGTCTGTGACTCTGTGAAATTTAAATGCAGGTAGCATACCTCCTTAATGATTTCCAGGAGTGGTGTTCTGTGATCATGCCATGCTGACAGAAGTTGATGGCCATCTGGGTAGACACAACAGGCTGTATAAATCTCTAAAGACATAGAACCGATGAAGTCGTAGGAAAAGTCCTGGAATTAATCAAACATATTGTTTATATTGGAAAGTTTGAAAATGATATAACAGTTATAATGACAATAACCTAAGGAGTCTATATACTGATTATCTGTGGTGATGGTCACTAGAAATAATTTTGTCAGCCCTAAGGAGCATTATACAGGCATAGCTGCCATGCCATTCAGTATTAACAGCTTGTACCCTGCTTAACATGTGAAGCACAGAAAAACCAAAGGACTGACCAACCAATTACTCATTTATAGCTAGCATGACTGTAATAAGCAGAGTAAAGAATTTTGTCCAAGGATACAACATAGTGTCTGTGCCTTGGATCAAACTACTGACCTTTCTACCGCCAGCCTAACATCTTACCACTACACTAATATAAATAAATGAAGCTTTTCACTTATGCATTATCTAGTAAAATAATGATAGTTTGATGAGACAAAAGTTTTGCAACAAAAAGTTTAGGATAGATGGATGCTGTCCCCGACAAAACATACGTCACAAAATCATGAAAAACAATGAATACAGACTCACCAACAGACTGCCATAGTGTGGATGGAGTTTAGAAGCTGCCACTACATTGTTGTCTAACTGTACATCTGGAAGGGAAAAAATCACGTCAGTTTTCATACTTATAAATGTGATAAAAGTAACGCAATGTACATCTGTAGGAAAAAAATTATGTCAGTTTCATACTGATAAATGTAGTAACCTATACTTCTGTTGGGGGAAAAAATGTCCTGTCAGCTTCATACTGATAATACCCTATATATCTGTTGGGGAAAAAATGTCCTGTCAGCTTCATACTGATAATACCCTATATATCTGTTGGGGAAAAAAATGTCCTGTCAGCTTCATACTGATAATACCCTATATATCTGTTGGGAGAAAAAATGTCCCGTCAGCTTCATACTGATAATACCCTATATATCTGTTGGGAGAAAAAATGTCCCGTCAGCTTCATACTGATAATACCCTATATATCTGTTGGGAGAAAAAATGTCCTGTCAGCTTCATACTGATAATACCCTATATATCTGTTGGGGGAAAAAATGTCCCGTCAGCTTCATACTGATAATACCCTATATATCTGTAGATTACAGGTAACAGTATAGTAATTAAAACATCATACATAAACTTTTTTTACAGATTGTGATGTATTAACTCATATTCTTTATACTTACTGACAGGAAGAAAATATTTCTAAATAAAAAAAAAAATCGTCATTTTTTAAGAAATCTTTACAGCTATCATCAAGAAATGCTTTTCTGGGATGGAAGTAAAGTTAGACGTATAAAGAGTAAAATTAAACAGTTCATTCTTACCAGAGGTATTACAGGAAGTCTTTCCAGCCTTCATCAATGGATGGTTGTTAACATAGGTCTTGCCTAAGTGATCTAATATCACCTTTTCAGTAGTACCCAATGTTGCTGAAAAAAAACAACAATGGTAGTAACCTAGTGCTTGTGTTATATCCCAGAGACAAAAATGAACAAACAAATGAACAAATTATCAAAGGAAGGAAGGAAGGACTGAATGAATGTATTTAAATTCACTATATATAAAAAATATTATTCACTTCAGTAGTTGGATAATCAATTTCATCTCGGATTCTTAAAAATATTGTTTCCCACTTTTCATCAATTTTTCTCACTATTCCTTGATTTGTTGGGGGTATTGAGGTTTAGCAAATGAATTTAAACATCTCTGGTTAAAATATTTTTAAAAAAATCCAACCCTTCTGAAGTTTAAACATTCAAAATCCTATCAAATTTTTTTTTAAGTCGTGTGGCCTAAGTGAAGACCGTGAAAACAACATTTCTCTTTTGTGAGCCAAGACAGAATAACAGAAAATAAAGGGAGGTAACTTACCATTGGGGTTGTTTGACCGATATGGAGTGGTGACACCCAGCAGCCCTCCACTGAGGATAATGGTGACAGTGGGAGGGGACTGGGTCATCCATTCAGACAAAGCTCTAGTCTCTACTTCCTGGGCCCCACTCCTATTAGCATATTTACCTAAGGGGAGATAACAGAACCCACATAAGTAACTCCGAAACAAGCAGAATTCTGATCAAACAGTCAATAGCATTGTCTGTTAGATACAATCTATAATACAATTTACTTAAACACTATAATCATTATTCAGTATGAGTTATCTGATGTTGCAAATCCTTGTCAAAATTTTGTGGTCAGGAGATTCACATGTTTTTTCCAACACAAATCAAAATATTGCATTTTTACAAAAGACTTCAGACTGCTAAGGTTTAAGAGAACTAAAATCTCCTTGTGTTGTTATAACATTGATCTACAGCAAAGTAATACTTCATGTATAGTTTTAAATAATTTTATTTTAGAATTGAAATCTTGATGTAATACTTTCAAACTTCATTATGTTCACTATGATAACTCAATCACCCTCTTTAACTCAAACTTTATCTCATTTCATCAAATCTTCCATCTTTATCTTAACTTTACATGTTTAAGTCAGATCTTACTTTAAGATAAGTTTGACTGTATGTATTATGAACAATCTGGAGTAGCATCTAACTGAGAAATTTCATAATTAAGATATTTTTATAAAACTACATCAATGTCAGTAAAGTTTAAGAGATGACTAACTTTCAAAATTCGTATCAAGGTCAACATCATTGGAGTTTTTCCTTCCTGATTTTCCATCACATTCTCCTGCGACGGCAATGGTGGCCCCATCTGGGTTCAGGCTTGGTACTATATGGATGACAGAATTATTCAACGCCTGTAATCAGAAGGAACAAGGTCAATTATTATTCACAGGAAGCCTACAAATACAAAATATTTTTGAGTTTAATTCTATTTAAAATAATGACATAATACACCTTCCATACATTTTTCATGATTGGGAGTTTTTGTCAATTAGTAGGTTTGGTCTTTTTAACATAACTTTCACTGACATTAGATCATCAGTAATTTCAGACATGCAAATCCTGTATGTTTAAATGCTTGTAATGACTCATGAACTAAAGAATGGCTATTAAAATACAACAGTTAACTAAATAATCTATCTTAACTCACCTTTGTGATAACACAATATACCTTAACTCACCTTTGTGATAACACAATCTACCTGAACTCACCTTTGTGATAACACACTCTATCTTAACTCACCTTTGTGATAACACAATCTTCTTAACTCACCTTTGTGATAACACAATCTACCTGAACTCACCTTTGTGATAACACAATCTTCTTAACTCACCTTTGTGATAACACAATCTACCTGAACTCACCTTTGTGATAACACAATCTATCTGAACTCACCTTTGTGATAAAACAATATACCTTAACTCACCTTTGGGATAACACAATCTACTTTACCTCTCATTTGTGATAACACAATATACCTTAACTCACCTTTGTGATAACACAATCTACCTTAACTCACCTTTGTGATAACACAATCTACCTTAACTCACCTTTGTGATAACACAATCTACTTTACCTCTCATTTGTGATAACACAATACACCTTAACTCACCTTTGTGATATCACAATCTACCTGAACTCACCTTTGTGATAACACAATCTACCTTAACTCACCTTTGTGATAACACAATATACCTTAACTCACCTTTGTGATAAAACAATATACCTTAACTCACCTTTGTGATAACACAATCTACCTGAACTCACCTTTGTGATAACACAATCTACCTTAACTCACCTTTGTGATAACACAATCTACCTTAACTCACCTTTGTGATAACACAATATACCTTAACTCACCTTTGTGATAACACAATCTACTTTACCTCTCATTTGTGATAACACAATATACCTTAACTCACCTTTGTGATAACACAATCTACCTGAACTCACCTTTGTGATGACCTACCTATTTTTTACCTGAACTCACCTTTGTGATAAAGTAATCCTTTCTGTAATTCTCACAGAGGTCATAAGCCAATTGTAGCAGTAGTTCTGCAGGCACTGCTTCATTACCATGAATACCACCAACAAAAAGAATGTGGTTCAAAGAAGGGTCATTAGATTTCTGGGATCCAATGTCCAACATCCATAGATCATGACTCTTTGGAGATTTACCAATGCTGAAATAATTAAGTTAAAAATAATTCCTGTAAAAATAAATTCAATAATTTTTGTCAACTTTCTGTAATGCTGGTCAGCCATTAGGAATAAGTTTAATCTGTATATGGTCAATATTCCACAGACTGAATAGGTCTCTCTAAATCCTATTTAGAGTTGCAACAATTTCAAATGTATTACACAAAAGCATCTGTAAAAAGTTCCTTTGACTTGCAGAATAAACAGCAGCATCATGTGGAGGGGGTATGTTTATAGAATTTGTATTATACTCATGTTCTCATTCAAACTTAAAGCACTATCTTACCTCACAGATGAAGCTGGAAACAAAGCCTTAACCAAAGTGAGGCAAACAACAATTAATTTGAATCAATACAAAATTAATTTGATGAATACATAAAACAAGATATCCCAGAGGGATCTTGGCGCCCACCATTTGAGGATCTGTTTTCAGTTCTTGAAGATTTTTTTGTTTTTGTTTTGTGTTACAGGTTTTGTAAATGTTCATGAACTGGTCTTCATTGAATGTACTCAATGATGGCACAAGATATTTCTATTAAGCACCTATTAGCAAATATCATTTGAAAAAGATCCCAAAGTATTATTAGATAGCAGTCAGTTACAGGTGGATAATGGACATGGTCTTGAATCAATATGATAGAATATCGAAGAAAATATGCTTGTGCTGTATTACTGTCGACATCCAAGATGGCTGCCTGTGGGCCAACTTGATTTCAAATCAGTCCAAAAAAAGTACAATGCACAACTAGGGACCAAGGGAAACCAATACCTATGAAATATCAGAAGTATCCATCCAGTACTTCCTCAGAAATAGCGGTAACAAGATTTTACTCTCAAAATTCAAGATGGCTGCCTGATTTCAGATCAGTCCAAAAAGGTACAATGCACAACTAGGGACCAAGGGGAACTTGCATATGAAATTTGAGAAAGATCCATCCAGTGCTTTCCAAGAAATAGCGATAACAAACTTTTACTTCAAAAATCCAAGATGGCCGTCTGTCAGCCATCTTGAATTCGAATCAGTCCAAAAAAGGTACAATGCACAACTAGGGACCAAGGGGAAACTGCATATGAACTTTGAGAAAGATCCATCCAGCACTTTTCCAGAAATAGCGGTAACAAGAATTGTTTACAGACGGACGGATGGACTACGGACGCAGGGCGATTTGAATACCCCACCATCTGATGATGGTGGGCTAAAAATACAAGCTGCTGAACTTATTAACTGATAGACAGATAGAAAAACACATAAAGTACTCCTAGTAGATCTCAAGGACATGAAAATTACCATACATAAAGCCTATTGATAGAGGTATGTAATGTGAGGACACTTTGAGGCTATGTCTAGCTTACCTGTGGAGTTTTGTGATTTGAGGACACTTTGAGGCTATGTCTAGCTTACCTGTGGAGTTTTGTGATTTGAGGACACTTTGAGGCTATGTCTAGCTTACCTGTGGAGTTTTGTGATTTGAGGACACTTTGAGGCTATGTCTAGCTTAATTACCTGTGGAGTTTTGTGATGTGAGGACACTTTGAGGATACATCCCTGAGGAAGGGTTCCACCATACCAGGTCTGTGGAAGTCCATCTTATCTAGCTCTTTGTTAAGGGACACCTGTACACCGACAGATTTACCCTCTTCAATCTGAACCTGATGGGTCTGTGACTCATATCCTACAATGTCATCACATAGATACTCCATTATGGTTAATACTTGTATAGAGAAACATGCTTACTGCTGAAATGTTATTTAAACAAGCTGAAGATACAACTTTGGAGTTTATTATTTCATCACTGATACTAAAATTGCATAGTTTGAAGGCAGAAGATTAGAATATGGTATTCAATGAAATAGAACTTACAAGTGCTTCCTGATAACAAAGCTGATAATTTTGATTACACTGTTAATTCATGATGTTTCCATACCTTCAGCAGATACCTCTAAGGTGTGAGGTCCTGCACTAAGGATGATGTAGAACTCTCCTTCATCGGAGGCAAAAATGACCACAGAGTGATGATCCACCTTAAGTGTGGCTTTTTTGATAGGCTCGCCATCATTGTTCAGAACTTCTCCATACACAGCTGTAGTCAACAAACAATAACTCATTAGTCAGGTGAACAGGAAATTAGATGTGATCTTATCCTGATTGGTTGATATTTTATATATTCAACCAATCATATAAATGATATTAATTAAATTTATTTTTATTATTTAAACGTTTATTATGTTTTTATTTCAACAAATTGGCCTGCAAGCTTATTTTGTAGGTCAAGATATCTTTTTAAACAATCAACAGTTTGAAAATTCACGGTCTGTTCAATGACGGAAGTTGACAAAATCTCCAGCAGTTCAAGCTGATCACATGCAGTGTATTGGGTTTACTCTGAATTTAAACACACAAAAGTGCTTGCTTTGCTCACGATCATCCATAAAAGATTATATCCCAACAGAACTGAAATTCCAAGATTTCTTAAATAACACAATAAATATTCATGGAGTCCTTAAAATAAAGAATATAAAATTGTCCACTCTAATGCATTCTATGAATCTGAAAGGTGGGTGTTGATTTAGGCCATTCAGTGATAAGCTAAATCTTTACATGAAGACACTCTAAGGTCATCTGCAAGTGTATTCCTGCCAAAAACCAAGCTGATCGTCGCGCGGCTACAGAATGGTGCAAATTGGCATCACTCTTTTGGTGATTTTATATCTATTATTGTTACCTGGTACAAACATATATTATCAAATATCAAAAAGGAAGTTGTCATCGATCAATGAAATCTTCTAAATGAAGACAACCCTAAAAAGAAGTTATAGAAGTTTGTAATTTTCTAGAACTTAAAATGATTTAATAATGACTTTTCACAAAAGATAATGCCACAAGTCTAAGGAAAGAAATTTCAGCTTTAGAATTACCTTGCTTGCCCCTGTTCACAATACCGAGGAGCGGTGTTAGAGAGTTCATCCAGATAGTGGGTAATTCCCTCCCTGGTGGGTACCGACAGCAGCTGATGTGAGCGGAAATCTGTACAAATATATTCCCAGACATGTATACACAACAAAAAACCAAACCTACTGAATCTGTGAAACAAGGTAGTTATCATGTCTACATTCAGTGTAATGGAAGCTTCTGTGACGTAAATCTGTAAACCTACCATAAAATTGTGGTAATCCTCATAGGCTTTGTCTAGTATACCAGACATGTTGCTAATGAGGTCACCGCCGTGGAATATTCCGTGTGACACGGAGGACGGACAGCTGTCTGGTGAATAGATGGAAGGATAGCCATCGGCGAAGGCATGGGCGAGTGACATAAATATTGCTTCGTCATCAGTCGCTGACATTCGATCTCTCTTCCTCTCCCATGGTATTCTGTGGTAACCAAACACATTCAAAGAAAAGGAACATAATTAATACAAAGCCTCCTACATATACATTTTTCTACGTTAGAATATTACAAAATAATCTTCCTTTGAGAAGGGACCATGAATAAGGTATAAGATATCTTTTTCACAAAATACAAAAATGTTTAGGAAAAACACAACGAAACAGATTGTCCCCTTCTTTTTATACAAAAAGTGTATGACAGTATACAAGTTGTCCATCAAACTTCAAAAAAAAAAAAAAAAAAAAAAAAAAAAAAAAAAAATTGATCATAGCTAAATGGAAAGCCCTTATTTCATTCAAATATGATTTCCATTCAAATTATGACATCATCAGAAAATTGTTAATTTTCAATGATACGATAATTTAGAATATATTCCTGTTCTATAATAGTACTCACACCAAGAAGAGGCCACCGCTGTCCAGACTGAGAGTAAGGCTAAACTTGTGGATCTCCATCTGTTGTAGGAGTGCCATTATTGTGGGACTCTACAACAGTACACACATTACAAATATAATAATATAGCAAATATAATGTAAACACTAGTGTTTCTGAGCGCATCTGCTTCCTGCTTCTTTTTTTTAGGAATGAAATGAAACCATGACGAATAGAACCCTTGAAAATAAAACAAAGAAAACAATACCTTACTTAATGAATTCTGTGAAAAATACATCCATCTTTCATCAAGTTTTTGGTAAAACTGACCAAAACTGAAGCATCTTTTCCCCTACCCCTCCTCCAAAACATTTCCAGTATCAAAGAGCTAATCAACAGAACAGAGTTGACTCCCTACCTGTCTCACAAGACTTCAGTAAAGACTGATCACCAAGCTTAATTCCCTTTTTTAATTCATACTGATATCCAAGTACAGTGTGACATTATTTTGACATTGAATACTTATTACCTGTATATCTGAACTTAAAAAAAGGCAGACAAACCATTATCACAATTTCATATAGTTAACATGGGTGTGTGTCTTGGTTAAACATGAATCATGTGACCTGAGCTGTTGTAAGCTGACAGTGCATCAAAAGCACCTCAATTTTTAAAAAATCAAAGTTGTTTTATTTAACATAATTTTGTTAACATTAGATAGTCTATCAAGTATTCTTTCTTAAAAAAACATTTTCATTATGAAAAAAAAAAATTAAATTCTTATTAAATGAAACTAAATTTCATAAAACTGAAAAAAGGAAATAAACTTGAACTAAGAATAAGGCATAGTGAAGAATCTCTATTGTCAGAAGAGATATAATACTTACATCCAATGACAGCTGACTGGTGGACATCTGCATACTCATATCTGAGACACAGTCGGTTGCTTGCTTGGCATCAAATCCTTCCACATTCAGATAAGGGATTAGATGTAGATGGAAATTGTTGATAATGTCCATCACATGACTGTCCTTCTTATCATAACCATGCAGAAGATGACGGATAAATCTCATCAATATTTCTGCACCCACAGGCTCGTTACCATGGAGTCCACCAATCAAAAGCACATGTGGCTTTTTGTTTTCATGGAGATCCACAACTGATGACAAGTGGACCATGGGTACTGCTTTCCCACTGGCCACAGTTACAAGTGTTTCCACTTCCATGAATTTTGAGTAGTTCTGAGCAAGGCCAGTAAGTTCAGCTGACATTTCATCAAAAGACTGGTACTTGGTAGCCATGTTTTTTTTGATGTCGTAATCTTGTTTTATTGAGAAATCCTCCAATGGACTCTTACTCAGGGTAAAGTTGACCACTACAGCTGCATCTAAGGTTACGTGTACCTGTACTGTTTGATTAGCATACCTGTAAAGAACCAGAAGGTCAAGGTCACAGGGAGCATGAAAGATCCTATGTTTCTGTACAAGTTGGAGAATTAATTTACTATTTTTTGTATAGAGAATACATTAAATGTTTGTTATGCAGATAATTACATAACATTTTATTGCAGAAGACAAAACCACAAAAACAAGATGATCCAAGAGGGATCTTGAAGCCTACTGTCCTTTGATCTTTATTAGATCTTTTCCATTCTTTTCTCTTCTTTTCTCTGTGTTTGGTCTTAATTTCTACGAAATTTGAATATCTCTCCAAAGAAATAGAAAAATAAAATGATCTGTAACTGCCAAATTCAATAAAGTCACTATTTTTTTTTTTGATCAGTCCCAGAATCTGAAATGTACGACTAGGAGCCAATGGAAACCTATGTATGGAATTTGAGAAAGATCAATTTGATAATTCTCAAGAAGTAGTGATATCAAACTTCCATTATTAAATTTCAAAAATGGTTTGTTGTTTGCCATTTGTTTCTGATCAGTCCAAAAATCAAAAGAGCACAACTAAGGACCAAATAGAACCAACATATGACATTTGAAAAAAGATGCATCCAGTATATTCCAAGAAATAGCAATAACAAATTTTCATTGTAAAAATCCAAAATGGCTACTTGTCAGCCATACTTCATTTTCCTGGTCACTACCAAAATCAAAAGGTTTTAACAAAGGACCAAGAGGAGCACACATATGGAATTTTATAGTGCTTCTCAATAAATAGTGATAACTGACTTACATAGTCAGAATCCAAGAGGGTCACCAATCAGAGAGGAGGTCATTCAATATAACAGATATAACACTGATAATTGGCTCTAATAATTTACATTTCAATTTTGGTATCATATACTTATACGCGGTCAAATCATTAGAAATAAACATTTACTTACATATTTGCAATTTCAATGCATCATAAATGAAACACAAAGCTTAGGAAAGCTACCAAAATCACAAACGATCACTGTGACACAGGTAAACTACCACAATCACTGTGACACAGGTAAACTACCACAATCACTGACAATCACTGTGACACAGGTAAACTACCACAATCACTGACAATCACTGTGACACAGGTAAACTACCAAAATCACAAACGATCACTGTGACACAGGTAAACTACCACAATCACTGTGACACAGGTAAACTACCACAATCACTGTGACACAGGTCACTGTGACAATCAGGTAAACTACACAGGTAAACTAATCACTGTGACACAGGTAAACTACCACAATCACTGTGACAAAGGTAAACTACTACAATCACTGTGACACAGGTAAACTACCACAATCACTGACAATCACTGTGACACAGGTAAACTACCACAATCACTGTGACACAGGTAAACTACCACAATCACTGACAATCACTGTGACACAGGTAAACTACCACTGTGAAACTCACTGACTGTGACACAGGTAAACTCACAATCACTGTGACACAGGTAAACTACCACAATCACTGTGACACAGGTAAACTACCACAATCACTGACAATCACTGTGACACAGGTAAACTACCACAATCACTGTGACACAGGTAAACTACCACAATCACTGTGACACAGGTAAACTACCAAAATCACAAACGATCACTGTGACACAGGTAAACTACCACAATCACTGTGACACAGGTAAACTACCACAATCACTGTGACACAGGTAAACTACCACAATCACTGTGACACAGGTAAACTACCACAATCACTGTGACACAGGTAAACTACCACAATCACTGTGACACAGGTAAACTACCACAATCACTGACCATCACTGTGACACAGGTAAACTACCACAATCACTGTGACACAGGTAAACTACCACAATCACTGTGACACAGGTAAACTACCACAATCACTGTGACACAGGTAAACTACCACAATCAGTGTGACACAGGTAAACTACCATAATCACTGATGGTCACTGTGACACAGGTAAACTACCACAATCACTGATGGTCACTGTGACACAGGTAAACTACCACAATCACTGTGACACAGGTAAACTACCACAATCACTGTGACACAGGTAAACTACCACAATCACTGACTATCACTGTGACACAGGTAAACTACCACAATCACTGACCATCACTGTGACACAGGTAAACTACCACAATCACCGACAATCACTGTGATACATACATGTAATGGCTGGCTGTAATGACGTAATCTCCCGGTGATAACAGACGCCAGTAGTCTCCCTCTGTTGCTGTGGTGATAGTATGGTTGATACCCTTGATGGTGATTTTGGCGTCGGATAAACCAAGACCAGTCTCCTTGTCGATCACAAATCCCCGCACACCCTTGTGAACCTACAATCATAAAACTTTATCACATCACTGTCATTTTGTTCACAAAACATACTACTCACATAATATAATGTCTTGTGACGTCAGGTTTACATAATGAAATGACATCACACATTCATACATTGTGATGTTACCACTGAGATCATGGATACTGAGTAGAGAGGACAAATATACAAATGTATGTTTTCTACAATATTTTCCCAGATAATTGACCATGTGATAAAATCTATTTCACGTGTGATTTATGAAATTATAATATTTTTATTTCATTTCAACTTACCAAAGGCTTGCTAAAATTCAAAATTCTTAAACTCTTAAATTCTTAAACTCATTTCATAAACTGCATATGAAGTGGAAACTATATACAATCCTATATTTAGTAATCCAAGGAATGTAGATGTAAGATTGCTTATTCCGGGTATAATCTAGAATTCTTGAAAATTAATTTTATCAAGGAAAAGAAGGGGGGACTTATCTTCTTGATTGATGTAACTGAAAATATTCCCAATATATTTTAGAATCTCAAATGTGTTCCCATTTGATATAAAGTTTATACTTAAAGTCTTAAAGATATTTTAACAAGCGTAAGGCTCTCTTTAAGCAAAACAAAGGTATTTGAGAAGGATCATAGCATCCACCACTGTATCAACTTTGTTAACTCTGATAAGTTGAATTTTCCCCCTTTTTCCTTTTTTTCCTCCGATTTGTCCCTAATTATAGTTAGTCAATATGTTTCTTCTATCAGTTCTACAATGATCAAAGCATAACCAGGGACCAGGAAGCCCTTATATACTATTTCTGTACTTAATTTGGTGTAATAAAATTTCAGCAAATTATCAAACTTTTTTGCGAGTAAGCTCAATGATGAATTTGCACATCCACAATAATTGTTAATTAAAAAAATTACAGAAATTGCAATTAGCACATCATTTTTTACACAATACTATCAGCATGAAAATTTGCTGAAACAAGATTACTGCTAAAATATATACATTGACAGTATGAAATCTGAGAATGATATTGATATAGCTAGTACTTCTCAACAAACTGTCATAATCAAGGATAACCACCTGTAAACCCCCCCACCCCTCCCCCGCTCAGTCCCAAACTGAACCATGTACAAGACAAGGGACCAGGGAAAGCTACATATGAAATTAGAAAACAATCAATGCAGTTCTTCTCCACCATATTTACTGGTTCTATACAAAATTGATCTTTTTTCTCCTTTTCATTCTTTCCCATTTTCTCTTAATTCATTTGATAACAAAGGAGAATACTACTTGCAAAATCAAGGAAAAATCCAACAAGATTTTCCTGATAACAAACTTCAACTGTCAAAATCCATGATAGCCAGTTAACAGCCATTTTGTGTCACTGATCACTGATCAGTCTTAAAATTACATGGCAGATAGGACAAGGACATGTGGAACATACACATGTACTTATATATCTCCAGTACTTCTCAAGAAATAGCGGTAACAAAGATTGTTTCCTAACAATGGACAATGGACAAAGGGTGAAGTGAACAGCCTAACATAAATGATACAAAAAATAACAAACTTCTACTGTTAAAATTCAGACAGCTACCTTCAGCCTTCCCCCTAACCCCACCCCTGTCAGGCCAAAAATAAACAAAAAAAAAACCCTGTCAGTACAAAAATAAACAAAAAAAACCCCAAACTTCTATTGTTAAAACCCAGGACAGCTACCTTTTAGTCTTCCCCCTAACCCCTACCCTGTCAGTACAAAAATGGATTATACAATACTAGGGACCAAGGGAAATGTACAGACGAAATTTGAGAAGGACAAATCAAGTATGTCTCAAGACATACTGATAACAAGAAGAGTTTACAGGCTGATAAATGAAATAAGAAGAATGATTTGAATGGCCTAACATTTTTATAATGGTGGACAAATAAAATCTACTTTTGTTAGACCTTACCTGTCCCATGAAGACAAGAAGAGCATATTTGTTGGCGTCCCAGTACTGGGGCAGATTGACAGCCATCGGATACTTAATACAGCCCAGTTCCAGTGTTATCTCAAAACAATTAGTGAAGACATAGTTCCAATCTTGCATCCCTCCTGTAACAAACATCAAGATCATTTCATTCTCCATTCATTTACATGTAAATAACGATGATTCAGTGCAATAATGATCAGATCCTGATCCACTGAATCGTGTTCAATCTCACACATCATGCATAATCATATTTACATGGCACTCAAGACTTGACAGACAAATCACTAGTCTGGCCAATTTCAAATCTTTGGCAGGTTATATGGAGGTTTGACTTTCATTTAGATTGTAATCAAGGAAATGTAGGAAAGAACACAAAATATAGGTCGCAGTGATCTACATTAGATTAGGTAGGTTTTTAGTACTTCTGAAAATGTTATGATTTCCGGAACTAGGAACTAAAAGGAAAATATGAGGTGGATGAAGTCTGCAAAGAAATACACTTTGTTGCTGAGCCATGAAAATCTGTATCTTTCAAGACATTGTCTATGTTTAATGTATCTGGAAGAGTGAGCATTTTCTGCCTGGTATATAAGAGTGAATGAAACAGGAATGTTTACTGAGTTATGAATGAATTTCATTTTTGATATGGATGAAACAATTGACTGAGCAACAGTCTACAATTTACACAAATATGTACACCGCTGTGTTCCTAGAAGTCCTGCTGGCACAAAACCAACCAGTCACACTGAACCAATCAGCTCTGTAATTATAAACCAACCAGTCACACTGAACCAATCAGCTCTGTAATTATAAACCAACCAGTCACACTGAACTAATCAGCTCTGTAATTATAAACCAACTAGTCACACTGAATCAATCAGCTCTGTAATTATAAACCAACCAGTCACACTGAACCAATCAGCTCTGTAATTATAAACCAACCAGTCACACTGAATCAATCAGCTCTGTAATTATAAACCAACCAGTCACACTGAACTAATCAGCTCTGTAATTATAAACCAACCAGTCACACTGAACTAATCAGCTCTGTAATTATAAACCAACCAGTCACACTGAACTAATCAGCTCTGTAATTATAAACCAACCAGTCACACTGAACTAATCAGCTCTGTAATTATAAAACCAACCAGTCACACTGAACCAATCAGCTCTGTAATTATAAAACCAACCAGTCACACTGAACTAATCAGCTCTGTAATTATAAACCAACCAGTCACACTGAACCAATCAGCTCTAGTAATTATAAACCAACCAGTCACACTGAACCAAACAGCTCTGTAAATATAAACCAACCAGTCACACTGAACCAATCAGCTCTTTAATTATAAACCAACCAGTCACACTGAACTAATCAGCTCTTTAATTATAAACCAACCAGTCACACTGAACTAATCAGCTCTGTAATTATAAACCAACCAGTCACACTGAACTAATCAGCTCTGTAATTATAAACCAACCAGTCACACTGAACTAATCAGCTCTGTAATTATAAAACCAACCAGTCACACTGAACCAATCAGCTCTGTAATTATAAACCAACCAGTCACACTGAACCAATCAGCTCTGTAATTATAAACCAACCAGTCACACTGAACCAATCAGCTCTGTAATTATAAACCAACCAGTAATTATAAACAACCAGTCACACTGAACCAATCAGCTCTGTAAATATAAACCAACCAGTCACACTGAACCAATCAGCTCTTTAATTATAAACCAACCAGTCACACTGAACTAATCAGCTCTTTAATTATAAACACTGAACCAATCAGCTCTGTAATTATAAACCAACCAGTCACACTGAACTAATCAGCTCTGTAATTATAAACACTGAACCAATCAGCTCTGTAATTATAAACCAACCAGTCACACTGAACCAATCAGCTCTTTAATTATAAACCAACCAGTCACACTGAACTAATCAGCTCTGTAATTATAAACACTGAACCAATCAGCTCTGTAATTATAAACCAACCAGTCACACTGAACCAATCAGCTCTTTAATTATAAACCAACCAGTCACACTGAACTAATCAGCTCTTTAATTATAAACCAACCAGTCACACTGAACTAATCAGCTCTTTAATTATAAACACTGAAACACTGAACCAATCAGCTCTGTAATTATAAACCAACCAGTCACACTGAACCAATCAGCTCTGTAATTATAAACCAACCAGTCACACTGAACCAATCAGCTCTGTAATTATAAACCAACCAGTCACACTGAACCAATCAGCTCTGTAATTATAAACCAACCAGTCACACTGAACCAATCAGCTCTGTAATTATAAACCAACCAGTCACACTGAACCAATCAGCTCTGTAATTATAAACACTGAACCAATCAGCTCTGTAATTATAAACCAACCAGTCACACTGAACCAATCAGCTCTGTAATTATAAACCAACCAGTCACACTGAACTAATCAGCTCTGTAATTATAAACCAACCAGTCACACTGAACTAATCAGCTCTGTAATTATAAACACTGAACCAATCAGCTCTGTAATTATAAACCAACCAGTCACACTGAACCAATCAGCTCTGTAATTATAAACACTGAACCAATCAGCTCTGTAATTATAAACCAACCAGTCACACTGAACCAATCAGCTCTTTAATTATAAACCAACCAGTCACACTGAACTAATCAGCTCTTTAATTATAAACCAACCAGTCACACTGAACTAATCAGCTCTGTAATTATAAACCAACCAGTCACACTGAACTAATCAGCTCTTTAATTATAAACACTGAACCAATCAGCTCTGTAATTATAAACACTGAACCAATCAGCTCTGTAATTATAAACCAACCAGTCACACTGAACCAATCAGCTCTTTAATTATAAACCAACCAGTCACACTGAACTAATCAGCTCTTTAATTATAAACCAACCAGTCACACTGAACTAATCAGCTCTTTAATTATAAACCAACCAGTCACACTGAACTAATCAGCTCTTTAATTATAAACCAACCAGTCACACTGAACTAATCAGCTCTGTAATTATAAACCAACCAGTCACACTGAACTAATCAGCTCTTTAATTATAAACCAACCAGTCACACTGAACCAATCAGCTCTGTAATTATAAACCAACCAGTCACACTGAACCAATCAGCTCTGTAATTATAAACCAACCAGTCACACTGAACCAATCAGCTCTGTAATTATAAACCAACCAGTCACACTGAACTAATCAGCTCTGTAATTATAAACCAACCAGTCACACTGAACCAATCAGCTCTGTAATTATAAACCAACCAGTCACACTGAACTAATCAGCTCTTTAATTATAAACACTGAACCAATCAGCTCTGTAACTATAAACCAACCAGTCACACTGAACCAATCAGCTCTGTAATTATAAACCAACCAGTCACACTGAACTAATCAGCTCTGTAATTATAAACACTGAACCAATCAGCTCTGTAATTATAAACCAACCAGTCACACTGAACTAATCAGCTCTGTAATTATAAACCAACCAGTCACACTGAACCAATCAGCTCTGTAATTATAAACCAACCAGTCACACTGAACTAATCAGCTCTTTAATTATAAACACTGAACCAATCAGCTCTGTAATTATAAAACCAACCAGTCACACTGAACCAATCAGCCCTGTAATTATAAACCAACCAGTCACACTGAACCAATCAGCTCTGTAATTATAAACCAACCAGTCACACTGAACTAATCAGCTCTTTAATTATAAACCAACCAGTCACACTGAACCAATCAGCTCTGTAATTATAAACCAACCAGTCACACTGAACCAATCAGCTCTGTAATTATAATACCAACCAGTCACACTGAACCAATCAGCTCTGTAATTATAAACCAACCAGTCACACTGAACTAATCAGCTCTTTAATTATAAACCAACCAGTCACACTGAACCAATCAGCTCTGTAATTATAAACCAACCTGTCACACTAAACCAATTAACTCCATAATATTAATACCAACCAGTCACACTGAACCAATCAGCTCCATTATTACAATACCAACCAGTCACACTGAACCAATCAGCTGCTTCATTACAATTCCAACCTGTCACACTGAACCAATCAGCTGCTTCATTACAATACCAACCTGCTACACTATACCAGTCAGCTCCATTAGTTATCCCGTCCTGAAAGTACTCATCGCTTTGGTCGGTACAGGGATGTCCACTGTGCATGGTAGAATGGGCCTATCAAAACAAATTTTACATATACAGTTACATGAAATGGCCCAATCAGAACAAAGGTTACATAATAATATCGAGGTGTCATACAATCAGTCCCTAAATCAGATATTTTAAACTAAGGACCATGGGTGACCTGCATAACAAACTTCATAGTAATATGTCAAAAAAACTCTAATAATCACAATATCATTGCTTTTGAAACTTAAAATGGCCACCTGTCTGTCATTGTGTTTTTACTGATCAATCCTATCAGCAAATATCACAAGGGACCAAGGTGATCTGATGTAGGAAGTAAGACAATTCATTGAATATTTCTTCAGAATAGAAATAACAACTTACAACTATCACAATACCAGATAGTAATCTGTTAGTCATTTTGTAATCAGTCCTAAAATACACAATGCACAACTGGGAATCTGGGACAACAGACATAAGAAATTTGAGAAAGATCCATGAAGCACTTCTGAAGAAAGAGTGATAAGAAGAAATGTTTAAGGACAGACAGCTGGACAATGGACGGACAACAGATGGAGATCTCGATGCGGTATCCAAGATAATAGGTAGACTTTGATATCTTGACATTTCCATGACTACTTAGAGTTGGTGATGATTAAAACAATATCATTAAAATACCCTAATATCTCTATAATAAGTCACAGCTTATTAGAATTTTTCATAAGTAATTTGACGCTTATTTTTGAAGACGGCATAATTTCAAGACCGATTATTTTTGAAACCATTTTAAATGTATGGAATGTACAACTTATTTTCAAGGTTGCTTTATTTTTGGGACATTTTAAAAATCACCCAAGCAAAGTTGTCTGGGCCTTAAGCAATATTTAGCTATAATTACTGAAATCTCTTACATTACATATGAAGTCTACCTTTAACTTTATGAAATCTAAAACATATTTTATAATAAAAGCTTAGCCATGCACTTTCTTTATTAACACAAACAACTTGGTAATAGTTAAAGATATCCAACTAAGTTTTGAATGAAAATTGATGACAGGGATATTTTCAAGGCCGGCTTATTCCTGAAGCCAGCTTAATTTCAAGACATATTTGACTGTAAGGGATCCTTGCCTTATTTTCAAAGTCAGCTTATTTCTGATATTCTAAAGAATAAAAGAAAGCTCACTCTAAACCTGTGGTTCCACTTCTAAAATTATATCCCATTATTGGTTATGCCAGAAATAAAATTTGATGTCATAATTTTGTGTATGGTCCATGAAAAGAGATCTTCAGAACACATTTGATCAAAGTTGCAGATATAAATCCTGTATATGTATCAGCTTTGTGATGATGCCCTATTATGAAATCTACACAGTAATGAATGAATGAATTATGTGGCAAAATATCAGATGGTGACACCATAGCGTCAGGAACAAATTAAACCCCATGTAAACTGGTCACACCTTTTTATGATGGCAGGTTTGTATTTCAAAGAATAAACAAACAAATGTTAGAAATCAATATGCTTATGGGAAAAACAAGTTACAAATTTTTCTCATCAAATAATTTCTGTAAGAAAGAAGTCACTGTAACATAGAAGAACAATCTAGACCACCCTTTGTAAGATATTATAAACCACTAACCAAGGAGTAGGCCTCCGACACTTGTTTGAAGACGCTATCATCAGGACACTTGGTGTAAGTAGCAATTCCAGCAGCGTTGTCATCGTATGGATAATTAGCCACCAGGGTACCACCGTGGAGATTTGCTGATAAGACAAATGGGTATTTTTTTACCCATTTCATCACAGCATCTGTCTCAGGCTGCTGGACACGATTAATTGAGTTGACAACATCAAATCTGTCAGGAAAATTCCTATTCAAGTCAATATTGTTTGCATTTTCACGTCCTCTTGTTCCAATACGATCTCCTGGAGAAAATGAAATACAAGAATTGAAATATGACGTGTTCATTTTACTTTTTGTGAAGATATAATAAAATAACAATTTGACAAAACTTAAAGTACCACTGCAGCAAAGTTACAGTATCAGAAATCTTTTATCAGCATCTATAGTAACAAGAGGCCCATGTACCTCAACAGATATATGACTATAAAGACCTATACATAACAGAGGCCAATAGGCCTTCACTGCTCAACTACTATACAGCTTACAAAGAAAATATAGTCGGTTTATAAAAACAAGATCTTCAAACTTGAAATCATGTTCTTCATAAATACTACTTCCCAAATACTATAACCTATTGCTTGTTGAAAGAATTTCGAAAATTTCAACGTATTTGACCTTCAGGACCTTGAAAGCAGGTTGAAGTCAAAAGCCCTTCATCCAGCTATGTTAAAGATCAAATATCAACAGCTGGACCTTTTGGTTATTAAGAAGAAGTCATTTTAAGATTTTAATACATTTTACCCTTGTTGCCTTGAAAATAAGTCATGGTCAATCATATGAACAAACTTGATAGTCCTTCACCCCATCATGCAGTCAGCCCAATATTGCCATCTTGTGCCTTTTGGTTAGTGAGGAAAAGTTGTTTAAAGATTTTGACATGTTTGACACCTGTGACCTTAAAAAAGGGTCAAGGTCATTCATATGAACAAATTTAATAGCCCTTTACCCCAGCATGCTACAGGCTCAATATCACCATCCTAGGCCAATTGGTTATTGAGAGGAAGTCCTTTAAATTTTTCAACACATCTGACTACTGTGACCTTGAAAGTGGGTCAAGGCTATTCATTTTAACAAACTTGGTAGCCCTTCATCTGAAGATGCTTAAAGTCAAATAGCAGGACTCTGGGCCCTCTGGTTATTGAAAAGAAATTATTAGAATGGAAAGTTTACCCACAGTGGATGGCGGATGCCAATGACGGATGCCAATGACGGATGAAATTAATAATTATAGGTCATCCTGATCTTTCAGTGTGCAATGTTTGTGTGGACCGTTTCAGTGATTATAAGCATTTTATTTTCATCATTGTTCTTTGTCAATGGTTCTATGTTTCACATTTGAACAAAAATTATGTATCAATAAGGCAGAACTTTTATGGAAGTCACAAAACTTTTCTTTTCCGTAATACTTTTTTTCTATTTTCAATGCATCAACTTTTGGCAACTCCATTCCATCGTTGAACATAACAATCTTCAGGAAAATCTGTCATCTATGTAAGATTTACAAACAGGACTCATTTCCTCATACACCATTTACCTTGGACTCTCTCACCTTCATCAGACCTACCAGGACTCATTTTCATATACAGCATTTACCTTGGACTCTCTCACCTTCATCAGACCTACCAGGAATTCATTTTCTCATACAGCATTTACCTTGGACTCTCTCACCTTCATCAGACCTACCAGGAACTCATTTTCTCATACGGCATTTACCTTGGTCTCTCTCACCTTCATCAGACCTACCAGGAACTCATTTTCTCATACACCATTTACCTTGGACTCTCTCACCTTCATCAGACCTACCAGGACTCATTTACATATACAGCATTTACCTTGGTCTCTCTCACCTTCATCAGACCTACCAGGAACTCATTTTCTCATACAGCATTTACCTTGGACTCTCTCACCTTCATCAGACCTACCAGGACTCATTTTCTCATACAGCATTTACCTTGGACTCTCTCACCTTCATCAGACCTACCAGGACTCATTTACATATATAGCATTTACCTTGGACTCTCTCACCTTCATCAGACCTACCAGGAATTCATTTTCATATACAGCATTTACCTTGGACTCTCTCACCTTCATCAGACCTACCAGGACTCATTTTCTTATACATCATTTACCTTGGTCTCTCACCTTCATCAGACCTACCAGGAATTCATTTTCTTATACATCATTTACCTTGGTCTCTCACCTTCATCAGACCTACCAGGAATTCATTTTCTCATACAGCATTTACCTTGGTCTCTCACCTTCATCAGACCTACCAGGAATTCATTTTCTCATACACCATTTACCTTGGTCTCTCACCTTCATCAGACCTACCAGGAACTCATTTTCTTATACATCATTTACCTTGGTCTCTCACCTTCATCAGACCTACCAGGAATTCATTTTCTCATACACCATTTACCTTGGTCTCTCACCTTCATCAGACCTACCAGGAACTCATTTTCTTATACATCATTTACCTTGGTCTCTCACCTTCATCAGACCTACCAGGAATTCATTTTCTTATACATCATTTACCTTGGTCTCTCACCTTCATCAGACCTACCAGGAATTCATTTTCTCATACAGCATTTACCTTGGTCTCTCACCTTCATCAGACCTACCAGGAATTCATTTTCTCATACACCATTTACCTTGGTCTCTCACCTTCATCAGACCTACCAGGAACTCATTTTCTCATACAGCATTTACCTTGGTCTCTCACCTTCATCAGACCTACCAGGAATTCATTTTCTCATACACCATTTACCTTGGACTCTCTCACCTTCATCAGACCTACCAGGAATTCATTTTCTTATACATCATTTACCTTGGTCTCTCACCTTCATCAGACCTACCAGGAATTCATTTTCTTATACATCATTTACCTTGGTCTCTCACCTTCATCAGACCTACCAGGAATTCATTTTCTCATACAGCATTTACCTTGGTCTCTCACCTTCATCAGACCTACCAGGAATTCATTTTCTCATACACCATTTACCTTGGTCTCTCACCTTCATCAGACCTACCAGGAATTCATTTTCTTGGTCTCTCTCACCTTCATCAGACCTACCAGGAATTCATATACACCATTTACCTTGGTCTCTCACCTTCATCAGACCTACCAGGAATTCATTTTCTCATACACCATTTACCTTGGTCTCTCACCTTCATCAGACCTACCAGGAATTCATTTTCTCATACACCATTTACCTTGGTCTCTCACCTTCATCAGACCTACCAGGAATTCATTTTCTTATACATCATTTACCTTGGTCTCTCACCTTCATCAGACCTACCAGGAATTCATTTTCTCATACAGCATTTACCTTGGACTCTCTCACCTTCATCAGACCTACCAGGAATTCATTTTCTCATACAGCATTTACCTTGGTCTCTCTCACCTTCATCAGACCTACCAGGAATTCATTTTCATATATAGCATTTACCTTGGTCTCTCTCACCTTCATCAGACCTACCAGGAATTCATTTTCATATATAGCCTTGGTCTCTCTCACCTTCATCAGACCTACCAGGAATTCATTTTCTCATACAGCATTTACCTTGGACTCTCTCACCTTCATCAGACCTACCAGGAATTCATTTTCTCATACGGCATTTACCTTGGACTCTCTCACCTTCATCAGACCTACCAGGAATTCATTTTCATATACAGCATTTACCTTGGACTCTCTCACCTTCATCAGACCTACCAGGAACTCATTTTCATATATAGCATTTACCTTGGTCTCTCTCACCTTCATCAGACCTACCAGGAATTCATTTTCATATATAGCATTTACCTTGGTCTCTCTGACCGTATTTATTCCTACCTGTAAATCTTTTTCTCATACAGCATTTACCTTGGACTCTCTCACCTTCATCAGACCTACCAGGAATTCATTTTCTCATACGGCATTTACCTTGGACTCTCTCACCTTCATCAGACCTACCAGGAATTCATTTTCTCATACAGCATTTACCTTGGTCTCTCTCACCTTCATCAGACCTACCAGGAATTCATTTTCTCATACAGCATTTACCTTGGTCTCTCTCACCTTCATCAGACCTACCAGGAATTCATTTTCTCATACGGCATTTACCTTGGTCTCTCTCACCTTCATCAGACCTACCAGGAATTCATTTTCTCATACAGCATTTACCTTGGACTCTCTCACCTTCATCAGACCTACCAGGAATTCATTTTCATAGCATTTACCTTGGACTCTCTCACCTTCATCAGACCTACCAGGAACTCATTTTCATATATAGCATTTACCTTGGTCTCTCTCACCTTCATCAGACCTACCAGGAATTCATTTTCATATATAGCATTTACCTTGGTCTCTCTCACCTTCATCAGACCTACCAGGAATTCATTTTCTCATACAGCATTTACCTTGGACTCTCTCACCTTCATCAGACCTACCAGGAATTCATTTTCATATATAGCATTTACCTTGGACTCTCTCACCTTCATCAGACCTACCAGGAATTCATTTTCATATATAGCATTTACCTTGGACTCTCTCACCTTCATCAGACCTACCAGGAATTCATTTTCTCATACACCATTTACCTTGGACTCTCTCACCTTCATCAGACCTACCAGGAACTCATTTTCATATATAGCATTTACCTTGGTCTCTCTCACCTTCATCAGACCTACCAGGAATTCATTTTCATATATAGCATTTACCTTGGTCTCTCTCACCTTCATCAGACCTACCAGGAATTCATTTTCTCATACAGCATTTACCTTGGTCTCTCTCACCTTCATCAGACCTACCAGGACTCATTTTCTCATACACCATTTACCTTGGTCTCTCACCTTCATCAGATTTACTGATTTCCTCATACACCATTTACCTTGGTCTCTCTCACCTTCATCAGACCTACCAGGACTCATTTTCTCATACACCATTTACCTTGGTCTCTCACCTTCATCAGATTTACTGATTTCCTCATACACCATTTACCTTGGACTCTCTCACCTTCATCAGACCTACCAGGACTCATTTTCTCATACACCATTTACCTTGGTCTCTCACCTTCATCAGATTTACTGATTTCCTCATACACCATTTACCTTGGACTCTCTTACCTTCATCAGACCTACCAGGAATTCATTTTCTCATACGGCATTTACCTTGGTCTCTCACCTTCATCAGATTTACTGATTTCCTCATACACCATTTACCTTGGACTCTCTCACCTTCATCAGACCTACCAGGAATTCATTTTCTCATACGGCATTTACCTTGGACTCTCTCACCTTCATCAGATTTACTGGTTTCCTTATACAGCATTTACCTTGGACTCTCTCACCTTCATCAGACCTACCAGGAATTCATTTTCTCATACACCATTTACCTTGGTCTCTCACCTTCATCAGATTTACTGGTTTCCTCATACACCATTTACCTTGGACTCTCTCACCTTCATCAGATTTACTGGTTTCCTCATACACCATTTACCTTGGACTCTCTCACCTTCATCAGATTTACTGGTTTCCTCATACACCATTTACCTTGGACTCTCTCACCTTCATCAGATTTACTGGTTTCCTTATACACCATTTACCTTGGACTCTCTCACCTTCATCAGATTTACTGGTTTCCTTATACACCATTTACCTTGGACTCTCTCACCTTCATCAGATTTACTGGTTTCCTTATACACCATTTACCTTGGACTCTCTCACCTTCATCAGATTTACTGGTTTCCTTATACACCATTTACCTTGGACTCTCTCACCTTCATCAGATTTACTAGTTTCCTTATACACCATTTACCTTGGACTCTCTCACCTTCATCAGATTTACTAGTTTCCTTATACACCATTTACCTTGGACTCTCTCACCTTCATCAGATTTACTAGTTTCCTTATACACCATTTACCTTGGTCTCTCTCACCTTCATCAGATTTACTGGTTTGCTCACCTTCTGTAGCAATTTCATATCCATCTGGATTCATAGAAGGCATGATGTGTATCCGTGTGAGGTTCACGAAGAGAGAGATGAAATGGTTGTGATTATAGTTATCACACAACAGTTGAATGAGTGACAGCAACATCTCACGACCTACGACCTCATTACCGTGCATGTTTCCGATGTACTTAAACTCCGGTTCACCTGTAGTATACACACAATAATCATTCATTTATATCAAAATATGTTACCAATCAAATTGACATACATGTCAAGAGTAGATACAAAAAATTATTAATTCAATCAGAATAAAAGCGAGGCGAGCTGGGGCTCACATAGATATATCCTCACTACATTATCTGTCTAGCATTTCATAAAATATCTTGTATAAAAGCTTTTTAGTTCACATTTGTAATAATGACCTTAACGGTGACCGACGACCACCAAAATCTAATCAAGTATAGAATCTGATGGTTTGTTTTAGGCTGTGAATATTAAATAAATCTGTCCTATGATTTATGAGACACCCCAGATACAAGCTTTTTATTTCCGAAGTGGTTGTAATGACCTTTGTTCTTTTTCCTTGACCAATAGAAATAACAATCAAAATATCATCACATGTGCACGATTGCGCCACTCCTACAAGTGACCAAGCTGAAAAAAGACAATCAAAAGCTAGCGGTAGGCTTAAGCTTATAAAACTGAAATCTATCCCTTATAATAAATAGTCTCATGCTGTGGTGTGATTATCAATAAGCTGTGTTACCATGAATGAGATAAATCAACCACATTTTTTTTAATTCAAAGAAAATGATATTGGGGAGATGTATCAGCAGGTATTGGCCTACTTCCATGTAGTTGTGCATATGGCATAAAACAGTGAAAAGATTACATCCATAAATGAACCTTCAAATAAACTCTTGTAAAAGCATCCATTGATCTGTTAAATAAATTCACCTGGCTCATGTATTCCTGGGTTGTCTGAAATTTCCATTGTCCAAAGTTGTCTCCCTTCAACGGACACACCCACACTGTACAAGCGTGTGATATGAGGGTACTGATGATTGAAATTTTCCAATAGGGTCTGTAACTCTGAGTAGTGATGATGCTTGAATTCTGCTGGCTCTATGAATTTGAGTTTTTCTCTGTGTGAGGCGTCACGGATTTTGTTAATATGGCTCACTAGTACATCTAAAGTGTCTGCCTCTGGTTCCGGGGTGGCTGGTTCCGGGGTGGTTGGTTTTGGGGTGGTTGGTTCCGGAGTCAGGTTTTGAGTCATGGTCAAAGGAAGGGACTTTGGAGACTCTGTTTGTGATGCACTATGAATGATATAAACGATAGACGTAACCATTGATGATTTGTCAGATGGCATTTACAGTAAATATGAATGCAATATGTGTAAATACAGAGGTAAATAGAGCCAGGATGATGTATTATCATTTAACTGTCACCCAAATTTCATTGTTCAATAGCTATATTTCAAATATCATTCAAACATGTTTATTTAACAAATTATTAAAGATTTTTTCCTGTGTGTGTATCTATTGGATGAGCTTCCTGCATAGCGCTGAAGCAACAAAGGTCAAAATGATCCCAAAATGACGTCATATAATTGTCTGTGACTTTGAATTTATGAATACAATCGAGATTATCAATGACTTAATGGGAGGTACTTCTATTTTATGTACACGTATCATAATATCTTTTTTCTCATATGCATCAACTATATGTATTCAAACAAATGGACAAAAAAAGAAAAATTAATACATGTGACATGAAGTGATTCAAAACTACCATACCAAATACATGATGGTGGAGTATTACATAAAAATGTTGTTCTAGATCTTTAACGTATATAAATAAAAAAAAAGGGTAACAATTGATGAATTCTGATTGAAAGGTACAGATAATTTGCAGGTATATTCAGAATAAAATCTATTTTTGTTGTATGGTTTAAATTGTATTCTGTTACTGGCTGAAATCTGGATTACAAGTGCCAGGTCTCAACTACAGTACAATACTGCTTTCTATAGTATATCAACAAGTTTGCTGAATTTTCTCACTCAAAATTTATCTAAGATATATTTTGAAAAAAAATGGCATGTACACAAACATTTTTTAAATATAAAATCCTACTATAGATGACTTTAACATGACTTCAACTGTCAAAAAAATAACACAAAGAAGAGAAGTCCTGTTAAACCAAGCTTCAGAGCAAAGTAGTAACAGTAACTATTTCATCGTTACTTTCCAACTTACTTGTCCATGTGTTTACTGTTCGATGTCCCTAATGACCTTTTATGTGTTGACGGGCCATTAAGAATGTAATAATAATAATAATACTTATCCATGTGGAAAAAAACAACTGTACAGACAAAATGGGACAATTTGACATGGAACAATGATGTGAAGATGTTCATGAAATGACCTGCATGGAGCTACAGATTTATCATTATGCAAGATGTTGTATTTAATAGGAATAAAAATACATTAAAAAATTTTAAATGGGAAAATGGGTTCCTCTCATTTTTTAATAGACAAAACATATATGGACATATCAAAAGCAATAACCCCCACCAACAACATGCAATTTTATAACGGAAATAAGATGACGATATTAACAGAAGAATTAACATGGCCATTACTAATCCATTTTCAGAATAAATTCCAAATTGCAAAATGAAAAGGTGACATTTTAAATATTATCATTTTATTTTTAGAACAAATTCTAAACTGCCAAAAGAAAAAGTTTACAATTCTTATTGTTACCATACTGATGGAGATTCTAACGGTAAAAACATGTAAATCTTTGACTTAAGAATATGAAATTAATTTGTATTTAATCAACTGACAGTCCCTTCAGGTTAATTTACAAATATACTTTATAAATTCTGGTCAACATGATATATGGTCCAATTTTTCAAGTGATATCATATACATGTAGTATATGCATGTATTCCAATGAGAATTTCACTGAAGTATAATATTAATTAGATTATGTGGAATAACATTGATTTACCTATTATATATAAGTAGGTAATATGTTTAATATATATACCTCTGTCCTGATATGTTCCTATTTTATTGAAAATCTCCAGTTTGAGAAATCTTTGTAAACACTAGAAAATACATATAATTCCTAAATGCTCCTATATATAAACCAGAATCTGATCAAGACCTAGACCTTATGATACTATGGGATAACATATGAATTAAGTCTGCTAAGAAGTCCTCTAGATAAGATGCCGATCTGAAACAGGATGCAAAAAAAGATGGGACCTGACACCACAGGGTGCAAAAAGATGGGACATGACACCACAAATGGACGTGGTAACATAAATTGGTGAGGTCATCAATGCGAGATGTACAGTAATCTCCAGACAGAGGAAGGGATGCTATAATACAGCTGGGCAATGGAAGCATAACAAATGATCAGAAATATAAGGGAACTACCTCACTGTGTCAATGGAACGTAAAAATCTGAAACACAAATGTAATGATTTATCAATAGTGAAAATAAAGACAGCTGAAACAACACTGAAAGTAAATAACACCAGCCCTGCACAAATTTATTTCTGCCTCACTGTGAATGCTAGTGTATTCAACACTTTTTTTTTTTATTTTTTGCTATTTTCAAGGAGGGATAAAACTAGGAACAACAGAATAAAGAATTAATAAAGAAAACTGTTATTGATTTCATGATTTCTGTTAAAAATCCAAAACTTTTGCAGCAAGCTTTTTGTGAAACTTTGAACCATAAAAAACAACCATTAATGTACATAATTTTTTTCCATGATGTTTTTGATCCTGTCAAATCTCTACCTCTTGTACCACCAGACACCTTAAGGCCAACAGGTACAGACTTACGACAATCCCTTTGCAAAACCCACTTAGGTACCTGTGCTACCTGACAGGTGTAATGTAAATGCCCATTGTTCTGTCCCGCACTGAACTGTATATACCTAGCATTATAAAGAAGAGTGTACATGGATGTAGGGAAGTAAAAAAAGACTGCTTTTAAAAGATAGGACGAACGTATAAACATGAACCTTTTTTTGTTTTTTTGTTTACAACATACAGGTAAGCTGGTTTAACAGCACACAGGTAAATAAAACACTAAGTGACAGAGCTTACTCTCTCTCCACTTAATCATGTACTTTACATATCCCACTGCTATGTCTACATGTCAGCTGATGTAGTTAATTACCACTGATCCTGAACCGGATATTCCATTATATACATGTAGTCTGGTTTTATGGGGACAAGTAACCTCTAGTGTTTTTCTTTCATCAGTGTCCCATTATCGCCTGCTGTCTCCAGTCTTTTCACTGTGAAATAATTAAATAAATGACGAAATACTATAATTTGGACTGACAAATGATGAACACATACCCTGCAGCACTCTGTTTCTTTAATCTTAAGTTAATTGGTGTAGCTGGTCCATTTTTCACCTCTACTGCCAAAGATGATAATTCATATCTGTCAATACAATAAAATTCCAAAATCAAATTAAAAAAAAAATAACATTCTTTACAACAATCTAGTATAACTGAATTATTTTTATCAAGACCTGGCCAAGCGCTTAACATGTGTACATGTTCATATCAAAATCATTCAGTACCGGTACTTGGAAACAACGTTCAATTATTTACAAGTGAAAGTTATTTTTTACACAGAATCATCTGCTTAAATTTTACTTGACTGATTACAAAACAGCAAAAACATGCAAAAGTTCCTACATCATACGACAAGTAAATTACAACAAACCCACTTAGCATCTTGTGATTCCTTTATTACATTTGTTTTATTAGTGAAGAACTTAAATTTCCACAAAGTTTTGACATCACGTCTTGGATCACCCCATTATTTGTTATCTCATATTTTTATGATCCTAAATCAAACGTTCCCTTTACATCACTACCTAGTACTGAAGCAGTGACTTACCCTTCAGCTACTGCAGAAATGTTGTAATTTCCCTTGACTAGAAGTCTCCAGAAGTCTCCGTAGCTAGCGGTAGTAATGTTGTGATTGATTCCAGCCACCATGATAACAGCATCAGGAATACCTTCATTGGTATCAGCATCCATAACAAATCCCTTCACTCCCTTGTGTACCTGAACACACAAACATATTGAAAATATGTCACAACAGCAACAAAACTGTGAATTAACTGAGAGAAAAAGACACTACCAAGTCACACAAACTAACAGAAAAAGACACTACCAAGTCACACAAACTAACAGAAAAAGACACTACCAAGTCACACAAACTAACAAGAAAAAGACACCTACCAAGTCAAATAAACTGAGAGAAAAAGACACTACCAAGACACACAAACTAACAGAAAAAGACACTAGCAAGTCACACAAACAGAGAGAAAAAGACATTACCAAGTCACACAAACTGAGAGAAAAAGACACTACCAAGTCACACAAACTGACAGAAAATGACACTACCAAGTTGCACAAACTGACAGAAAATGACACTACCAAGTTGCACAAACTGACAGACAAAAGACACTACCACGTTACACAAACTAACAGAAAAAGACACTACCAAGTCACACAAACTGACAGAAAATGACACTACCAAGTTGCACAAACTGACAGAAAATGACACTACCAAGTTGCACAAACTGACAGACAAAAGACACTACCACGTTACACAAAAAACATATTGAAAATATGTCACAACCAAGTCACACAAACTAACAGAAAAAGACACTACCAAGTCACACAAACTAACAGAAAAATACACTACCAAATCACACAAACTGAGAGAAAAATACACTACCAAGTCACACAAACTGAGAGAAAAAGACACTACCAAGTCACACAAACTGAGAGAAAAAGACACTACCAAGTCACACAAACTGAGAGAAAAATACACTACCAAATCACACAAACTGAGAGAAAAAGACACTACCAAGTCAAAAAATATATACTTATACTATACATTTCTTTTTCTTTGTTTTTCTTAAATTTGTTCAGATTTTCTTAAACCTAACAAAACTAATCTAAAAAATACCAGCCAATGTATAAAGAAAAAAAAAGAAAAAAAAAAAGAAGAAAAAAAATCTGAACTAAAATTTATGTCAATTAAATGTTCTGAAATTGGAAAACCTAGAGATCTCCCAAATCATAATCAGCATCCTTAATTAGCAATCTTACATGTATATTTAAAGGGTTTGAATTGTCTGATGAGGGCAAGGGTACAAAATTTCATATTCAGATGTGTAGTAATGGTTGTAATACCAGATAATGGAAGAATTTGAAAACTTTCCTTATACATACTATATCGTTGTTTAATTTTGTGATAGTTCACAAATTTATGTAATGCCACCTTAGCAATCAACAAGAGAAAATTTTCTGATCATTTTTGATTTGCTGTAAAATATTTGTTGTGTATTAAACTTTGTTTGATCCTTCTTGATCATGACTAGCAAAATTAAATCTTCTGTGATATTTACAAACACTACAGTATCCTAGCCTATAATTTTATAACTTCAAATTCTTCTATAGCAAAGTGTCTGCAACAAAATTAAATCTTCTGTGATATTTACAAACACTACAGTACCCTAGCCTATAATATTATAACTGCAAATTCTACCGCTGAATGGGTTTATGAGCCATGGTTGTGTGCTTGGGCATGACATTTTAACCTACAAAAAAGTGCTCTGGATAGGACAGATTGTCTTGAAAATTTGACAATTCACTTTTCTGTACTGTTGTCATTACTTCATTGATCATTGATAAGTTGCTAGCTACTACATAGAGACCCCACCTAAAAATGACCCTGGTTGTTTACTGGTGATAAACCGAGAACACAAACAGCCAACAAACAATTGTTTCATGACAAAGTTACGTTTCAGTGTCAGTCAAGAAATATTTATCTCATGTTCATGAGTCGGTAACTTAAGACGTGTATATGTACCTATGTATATAAATATGTAGGTAAGGTTGTGTCACCTAAAATAGAAAGTGGAAGCAGTTAAAAGGAAAAAGTAAATGAATACCATACATAGAATAAGTCCTTATCTAAACTATTCCTTTTCCACAGAAAATGTAACAGGGACTTAATAACTAACATCCACACAGAGGCCCATTTAAATAGATTCACCCTTGAAAAAGAAAAGTAAACCAGAAATTTTCAATAACACATGACACCTTTCAAAAGATTCACTCAGCCGTATCCTAAAATGCCTACCAGACATATATATTACTAAGAACACTGGGTAGAACTGTTTAAAACCTTGCAGTATTTTATTATAGATGTACGTTAGAAACATCAGCTCTCAGTAGAACTGCTTTGTTATTGCTAATTGACCTCAATGGTCCAGAATTACGCACCACAGAAAATAGTAACTCTAGTCATATGACACTTGGAGTATGTTCATTTATAACAATAGCAGCTTGCTAAGTATATGATTAACAAAGATTGTTGTATACCTAAAACAAAATCCCAGCAGGTCATGACTTCGCATCTCAAATTTATCAAAACTTCGTGAAGACATGCATTTTCTACCATAAATAGCCTTAAATGTGTTTTTCCGTATGTTTTATGAAATTCACATGCATAAGTTCATAAAATTAAAAAATATTTTTTATCAGGTGCAGAGTTTGTAAAGGTATCAATTTTAAAATAAGTATTTGTTCATTTTATAAAAATTCATGATTAAATTTGTACTTGATAAATTAACTGAGGAGCCAATAAACCAGTAGAAATTTCTGCCACCATACATGTAGAATGATTCATATTGTCATATTATCAAAAGGTATTAAAAATTTACAGGACAAACTTTCACATTAAACAAATAACAATTTCTGACAGTAACGGAAAGCCTAAGGCATAAGTCATCCAAAAAATGTTAAGGACTTTTTTTTTACACTGATGGAAAATAGAAATTCCTAGAAGCATTTCATTAAGTTGTAAAACCTAATTCAATGTAGAAAGATTAAACCTCTGTGGTTAACGACTTACACTACATAGCCTTCAGCTATATCTGTGATTTAATCTGTGTGTCCGGTAACATAGTCTGTATACGTAAAATAGGAACAGTGAAACATGTACCTGGATTGACTGAGAATCATGTTTTGTGTCCTTAAGGCATGAACACCTATTCTGACCTATGTAAACTAGAAAGCATAAACATTGCATGAAATTCGATCGATCACATAATCATAAATTTTGAAACCCATTACACAAAGTCATGTGCAGTATTGCTGCAGTTGACTAATAGTGATATTAAACTCTAAAATACTCCTTCACGTTAACTCACCTAAACATCTCCCCATTGACTCGAGCATATCATACATCTTTAGTGACTTGACTGCACGTTTCCACATTGACTCAACTCCATATATACATATACTTTTCTACTGATTCAACTATAAATCTCAAGAAGGACTTTTCTTCTTGCAGGAACCCCACTCTGGTCAATATACAGTCGAACTTGTCTCGAAATTCAAGGGACCACGGATAACAATTTGACCCATTCATATTTTGACTCAAACAATGTGTTTAATTAAAGTTGACGATATCAGTTCCCTGATGCTGATCATAGCTCAACCAAGTAGAGCTATGATAGCACGATACACTGTGGTACAAACAGTGTAATTTTTGATCTGTTATTTGAAATGGCAGTAAATAAACTGAAAAAAACTATTTCTACATCTTCTTTTCATTGTTTATTCATCCGAATAACAAAACATGTATTAACAGTACAAGTTAACTATATTTGTACCAACTTCGTTCCCCACAAAACATATATCTATTTTTACAAAATGACAATAAAATGGAGCTAAAATTTGCTTTTGATATGCTACAAGAAACGATGTATGAAGTTACAGATCCTGTTAACATGACTTTACCATGAACTGGAAAGTTTTTTAACCTGTCATAGAAACATAATGAAAGTACAAGGCTTAACAAATCACACAGAGACAAAAACTCCATCAATGAAAAATACTTTCAGCACTGTGTTGTCCAAGAACTAAATCTAGCGAAGTACCCAATCACTGTCTGTTAGTAAACAAGCACAAAAATTAGTTTCTCTTGGAATTGTGGGGGGAAATTTTGTACTGATTTGACAGTTTCATTTTTAACATTCCTTAAGATGCACGCAACCTAGCAAACTGTATTCATGTATTGTGTAAATGCGCTTCTTGTTTAAGGTACAGGTAAATCATGGCTTCAGGATGGTGACAGTAATTAAGAAGGTCATTAATCAGCAGAGCCCAAATGTTGTGTGTACAATGGACTGATATGGTGTAACAAGCCATGTGTTACACACAGGTGATCTTCTACTCTGTGTACCTGCAATAGAGGTCATTATTTATCTTAATTCCTCTGCTGGGATTCAAATCCAGGACTGCTGACTTACTAGTCTGATGCTCAACTGCTTCAGAAGATGTGCAAATGTTTTGACAAAAATTAATTTCAAGACAACAAATGACTTTTCCCTTGCTTTACCATTGAAGGGACTGAAATATCACTTCAACTAAAATGAAATTTCGACTTAATGAAATTTGAGTCATCCTAACTAATATTACAAAGATATCAAAGGGAAAAAATCGGGACCTGAATATTTTTTTGACTCAAATCGAATTCTGACTCCAGCGATTTTGAGACGAATTTCAACTGTACATAATGATGTGGATAAAGAGGGTGTAGAGGCATATATGGGATTAAAAGAGTGCATTTACTTTTTTGTTCATTTTGTGATGTGGGAGTGTGCATAAAATGAAAATAAAAGAATCAGACATCCGTTAATAATTTTGTGTGAGTGCTTCAAGGGCTACAAGGGGATATGTGCCTTGAATCCCTTGAGCGTTGTGCTTTGTACTGTACTGCAGCAAATGGCAAGAGATCTAGATTCCCTTGTAATATTGACTCAACGCACTATACAACTCCATGTAAGTAACTCATGATCATCTACATCTTGTTACACTGACTCAACTTTGAACCTTTCAAGTAAAACAGAACCACTTAAGTGATTCTACCATACATATTCAAATTGACTCAGCTATACATTTTAACATTGACTCAACTTTATACTTTGCCATTAAGCCAAGTTACTACTAAGCCAATCAGCACAGGGCTCTCACATCCCATTTTGGGACTGGGGCCCGGGGCCCTTAGAATTGGGAAAAATAATGGTGTTTTCCTTAGAATTGGGAAAACTTCAGGTCTAATTTGGGAAAAAAAGATACTATTTTGCATTGGGAATGGGGCCGATGCAGATCGAGTGCCTTGCAGCAACTAGCTCTCAAAAAGGACACATTATGAACAGATAAGGCAAATACATTGTAATTACATTACTAGTTATACCAACAATATCTAAGAGTGATTGGTACTGTACCTCTTCCATGTAAGCAACCAGAGACTCTTTATTGTTGTTCCATTCCTTTTCCAGTTCACTTGCATAAGGATATTTACAGCAAGACAGCTCAATAGTTATCTCAAAACAATTACTATACAGGTAATTGTAATCCTGCATTCCACCTGGAACAAGATTAATTACTTATAATAAATATTATTCATAAATGAATCTGACCGTTATATATCTATATGAATAAACAAATATCAATGTATACATATACAAACAAATGAAAATACACTTAGAATGAACTACTGTATTTAGTTACAGATTCAGAAGTGAAACCTTATTAAGACCACATGGGAGTCTGCGTGAAAGTGGTCTTAATAGCAGAATGGTCTTCATACTAATACGGAGTACCCAATTGACTTTTGACCTTTACCAGAAGATCTGTGTACTGCACATGTACCACTTGGAATGAGTCCTTGAATGACCATTAATTGTACTTGTTTTAGCAATATAGAAAAAGATAAGTTAGATTTACATTCATATGTGCAGCATTAGATCTTTAAGGGTTTTGGACATGGTATTTCATAATGCTATATTTCAACCTAAAATGATATGTATGTAGTCTGCATTATCATGTGTCTGTCATCACAAAGATGGCCCCTTTCCTTTATGCTTAGTCTGGTGAATATGCATATTTTGAATGCAAAATCAGGTCATGTGATGCATGCGGTCAAAGTATTACTTTAACTGCAATGATACTCTGTTTACCTATTAAGACACTCAGTTACATGAATGACCTTGTCCGAGATGATTTATAACCTTTATCTAAAGTAGGTACAGTTTAGTGTTACTTTAACTAGATTTTTTCATAGTGTAAAACTTCATGAGAGAAAATTTCTTTAAAATGTCACAATTAATATTAACAAAACATACTTTATTGTGTCACAGCATTTCACATGTGGATATAGACTTATTAACATCACCTTAGAATCAAACTGATGATCCAGACATAAAAATCAGAAATTTTGAGGAAAATAACTGATTTTTGTTGTTTTTCAATATATGTTTTCAGTAATGATTGAAGTGATACATTCCAAGACCAAATCAAAGTGATTTTGTTTTTGCTTGATAAATGAAGAGGTTGAAATAGGGATAACCAGAGACCTCCCTGTCCAAATGAATTCCTCCAGATAGATGACAGTGAATATGAATGAAGATTATAATTTATGGTACTGTTTAGCCTTCATGTTTGTAATTAACCCCAAGTGTTAAATGGTTGTTTGTTTCTTTTATGAACCTGTTATAATCGCAATGTAAACCAAATGGAAGGTGCTCGGGTACCATTGTTTTGACATGTACAAAAGCTTGCCCTTCTTGTGCACATACACAAGTTAAGAAGTATAATTATATAAAGTGTTAGTTAAAGTAGAATATTTCACTCTCAATCAAGGGTATCATCTAAAAAACAGGATCACATGAGAAGTGTCTGCCTTCTACACTATTTTATTATTTACATAATAGACAGTCAGAGTATCACATGACTGTTCACCTCATTAAATATCTCACTCATGCAAAACAAGTGCTGCCTCAAATATTAAGACTATGATGTCAAGAAATGAATGAAATTGAAAATCGTTTCTATAACCCTTTAACAATGAAGTGTATTGGTTGAGGGACTTGGCAAGACCCTAACTGCTGATATGAGTCATTGGAGATGTGAAAGATCAGTGTAGCATGATATTTTTTAATTGATCAATGCAATTTTGAAATTGTGGAAGTTTTCAATTTTTGTTTACAGCAACAGGTCACAATCATGGGGTCAAGTTCCCTTACATAGTGGTTTTTGGGATTGTCAAAACTGGTTGTCAGATGGAATAGAGGGTTGGTTGTATGGTAAGGTTTCACTCTTTATATAAGTGTACTATTTAACACGTAGGTTCTTACATAAAGAGTTTTTTTTACCAAGAATGAAGAGGATTTTCTTCTTCTGAAAATTGTCAAGAAATCTTTATTAAGTGCATGTTCAAAAAAAGATACGAAGCGTTAAGTTAGCAGAAATGCATGTATTTTTTTCAGGCCTTACACATACAAGTTCTCAAAGAAAATCTTTACCTGGCACATCATACCAATAGGCACCATTGGTTATTCCTCCCTGAAAATGATCACCATCACAAACCTTTCCACTGTGCATGGTTCCATGATTGCTTGCATATGTTGTGGCAACTTGTTTGAAAATAGCATCGTCAGGTGAGGCACTGTAATATCCAGATTGTCTGTGGATGGCTGAATCATCAAACGGGTAGCTAGCAACAACACTTCCACCATGCAAGTTTGCAGACAAAACAAATTTGTTTTCCTTAATCCAGTTCATTAGTACTCTTGTTTCACTTTGAATATGAGGCTGGCTATCAGAAAATTGGTCTGGAAAGTTTCTGTTAAGATCAACATGGTGAGCATTCTCCCGTCCAAGAACTCCCGTACAATGTCCTTCCCTAGCTCTGTGGAAACCATCAGGATTCATCGTAGGCATGATATAAATATTTGTTCCGTTGACCAACTTCGTGACGCGTTCATCTGTTCCGTAGTTTCCCAAAAGATGCTCAATCAAATTTATAAGTATCTGTCTGCCAATGACTTCATTCCCGTGCATATTCCCGACATATTTGAACATTGGTTTGCCTGGCTCAACACCATTATTGTTGTTAACGTTTTTCGTAATCTGTATCGCTACAATATCTCTATTCTCTTCACTTGCTCCAACTTTATGAAGTTTGGCTATATGTGGATAGTTTGCGACTTGACTGTTCAGTAAATTCAATAATTCATCATGGTCGATGTATTTGAAAGTATGTATAATTTCTTTAGAAGGAGAGCTATTAGACGAAGCATTCGATACACACACAGTTAGGAGCAATAGTGTCAAAATAAGATAACTTAGCTGTTTACAGCTGTCAGTCTTCCAGTCCTTCGCCATGTTTTCGTGTGGAAGTTCCGGAAAGTAATGGTACGTGTAAAATCCTACTTGTTACGCACGTACAGAGGCTCGAGTAATTAAATTACGTGATGTCTTTCATAGACGAATCATTATTTCTACCCTATCAAATTATTCTCTTTCTTTAGCGATATGTTATTGTTATGTTTAAAACAAACTAGATACTCGAAATATTATAGGTGCGTATTGTTCCGTATGATATATCTTAACATTTGGTAAAATAGACATTACCCTTGTTGACGGATTCTGATTCGTCGGAAAATCTCGGGTCATAGGTCATGACACCTGCATCTAACATCACACGTTTTCACAGCAGCAACAGGTGCATTAGGTACATTGCGTATATGACAACAGGTGTTCACTTGTGAATGATGGGATATGTGTTGCTTTACGTTCCTAATATTATCGGTAAATAGTCACGTCAGTCAATTTTGCTATATTTTGGGTCTGGTTACATGGGCTTGTTTAGATGAGAGTTGATATATTACAGGAATGAAGTTATTAAGTTAAAACCCCATTTATAGTCAGTAGGAACTCATCTAACCAAGCCCCATGTTATTTGATTAGTCTATGTATGATTGCAGATGGATTGATTGTTTTGTCTGTCACAAAACCATATATTTTGATCACTGGCCTCAATGATCTATTCAGATAAAATCAGAAAATTTGTTTAAGCTGTGGCGCAACATCCATTTGTCAACAACTTTTCCTTTTTAAATAGCTTCTCAAGATGTGCATGATCTTTTATTGGGCCAATAACATTATTGAAATGGATGACCTTGACCTACTTTAAGGTCACAAGGAGTCAAATATGTTAAACCCTTTCAGCAAATTCTTGTCTATAAACAGGATGCCCCTGGTCATGATATTGAATAGTAGCATACTTGGCTAAGGAGCTACAGAAACAAATTTTTTTAACAATCTTGACCCTCTTTCAAGGTTACTGAAGTCACATGTGTCGAGATACTTAACATCTTCTGAGGAACCAAGAGGCCCAGCTAGTGTCATGATATTCAGTCAGTAGCATGCTTATGTGTAAAGCTACCAGGTTTGTTCAAATGGAGGGCCTTGACTCGCTTTCGTGGTTATATGCTTAAGGAGTTTGAAATTTTTTGATCTTTTCTACTCAATAATCAAAAAGGTTTGGGGTCATGATATTGGGCCAGTAGCACACTGAGGTTAAGGGCTATTAGAATAAAGAAAAAACCAACTTGTTAAAAGAATCATAATTGATATTTTTGTGATAAAACCAGGACAAATAAATATGCTCAATAGAAAGATTAACAATGAGACTCCTGAAAAAGTATATGGAGAATAAGACAACATATATCTTTTGCTTTATTGACAACACCAGCCATGTAAGTCTTTGTCAGTCCAAGTAAGTAGTATCTTGTTCACAAAGTAAAACAAGGTAAACTACAGCAGTACCACCATGTATACTAACAAGCATCGAAGATGTCCAGCTTCATATCGCACAAAGAGATAGAATATTTCTCAATGAGATCATTATGATGACTAAAAGTTTCTGCTATCTTCATCAACCTGCACACTTAAAAAATCCTGTGTTGTGAGTCTGTCAGTCAGTTAGTAACATCATTCACAAAACCTGAGATATTGGGAACAGGCCCTTGTATATCGAGTTAAATGTGACACGTAAATACCAAAGGAAGCAGACCCAGGGTTGTAGCTATCCAGAAATGGGGAAATTTTAATCATTATATTTATCATACAGCTTGTTGGAAAGCTGTCCCTGTTGGTTTTGTTGAAGGACTTTGGGACACAAAGGATGTTGTGAAACAACCCCATTCAGGGATTAACCAAGAAAGAATTTGCTACCAGAAAATCCTTACCCAAAGGGCTATAAAAATTTTATCCATTTTTCTAAAAAAGACCAAAAATTCCCTTTTTCTTCAATGAATAGTATTCTCCAAATTCTACTTTATCACCTGTCATTGTCTTCTCTTTGCAAAGAATCAGAAATTACTAAGATAAGATATTTAATTGTACATTATTACGTATGAATGGAAAAGATTTTTTTATTTTGGACGAAGAATTACTGAAAAGGAGAGGATATATGTTTGTAACGTGTTGTACTCGATACACTAGGTTATACATGCTTACATGTTCTCTATCCTGTGCCAATGTCGTAACAATGCCAAGAAATACACAAGTAATATTATATGGATGAGACTACAAACACCCTGTTTGTGTATTGTGCATCACTATGACAACGGTTGCTAATGACTCTCAATGCAAATTTAGCCTAACAATAAATGCTGTTTTCTGTTTTTAAATACTTCCTAATTTTACTTACTGTTATCATTTTCCTATGTTGTGATTTCAGGCTATGCTCGACTGTGTTTACTTGCCCTGAGTATCAGCACATTTGATACACCTGTTATGTTTCTCATCTTCTACAGTGTCTCTGCAATCTTGGATGGTAGGTTACTCCAAATGGTTATATCAGGAAGATATATAGTCATCATGTTTCTGTATTGTCGTTCGCCATCTACCATACGTAAACTTTTCACATTTTAAATTTGAAAGTTCCACCAGTGGGATTGAACTCCAACTTATGTTTTGGGTCCAAAGTCCAATTATGGTTGTCTAAGCCGCTATCTTGAAAAACACATTTTAAAACTCCATTGTTGCCATATAGCTGAAAATTAGTGGGGATGTTTAGGAAAGGATATGGTGACAATGTTATTTCTAAGTCTCATCAAAACGTGGCTGCCATGGTAGCTAGTTTATATGATTTTCCTAAACAGCAAATATTTAAAATTTCTTCTCAAGTTCAACCTGTGAGATTCAACACACACTTACTAGCAATGATCCTGGGAATGTCCTAAGCAAGTGTATTTTTTCCAAGTCGGTCAGCCATCCAATATGGCCGACGTAGCTGTCATCTTGAAAAACAAATTTTCACACTTCTTTCCTGCTTCCACTGGTGTTGTTAAGCTGATATTAGGTTTGGATTTCGGGGAAATGATTGAAAGTGTTGTGTTTGTCAGTTGTATTGCTTAAGTTCAGAATAGTTTGAATCATTTACTAATTGTCCCTGCTGCTATTGTACTAGGAAGGAGAAATGAAAAGCACCTCACCCCAAGTGGGGTTTGAAATACTGACCCTTTAGTCTCTAGTCGGACATTCTTACTGCTCGACTAAAGAGAAACTCCCGTTAGCCAATGCTAGTAAGGTGACCTGTACTTTTTACTTCTACACTATTCCCTCCTTCACAAAGTCTTTAAGCCCAATGACAACAACAACATAGATTCTATTTCTCCAAGAAACAGCTCAATATCCTATAACTTCAATGTTTGTTCAACATTAAATCTGTAACAGGAAGAAATAATGAAAAACACTTCATTTTTGTCTCTAGCCAGACACTCTACCTCTCGTCTTATGGCACCTTTCCACTTGCCAGGCTAGTAAGGCGACCCACACTCTCAATTCCTACACTATTATATCATTGATTAGTTTTTAAATTCAGATTAAGGCCCCATGGGCCTCTTACTTTTTATTACTGCTTTGCAGTGTAGATTCTAAAGACAATCCAAGATGCACAAAACAATGGTAGTATAGAAATAAAGATTCACTCAGATTTGATTACAGAAAAATGTAAATTTCATATACAAATTCTATATTGGTCTGTAAAACAAGATTTCATAATTCCTTACTGAACTGGTAGCTTAAAAGGTGAACACAAAAATAGCCATGTTGATCCACTGAGACTTGTAGTTCATGATCATCATTAGATGGATAGATTTAATTTAGGAGATTTGTGTAGTATTTAATAAAACAACCTGATGTTTAAATAACTAAAATGCAGACATAAAAACTGATCACCTACACAAACTTACATAGTGATGATAATTCAGATGTTAGGTCAGAAGACACACCATTTACTAGGATTCTGTGTGACACCTGTTGCAAGTTTAATACAATCAGATTTAAGCTGTTGTTGAGGGTAAATCTAAATATTTTTATCTCAGGATTTGATGGATATGCTGCCCGAAAATTGAACCAGATGTCAGCGTTTGGAGCATGGGTAATATACTTGACCTTGTTTTCACTTGTTCCTTATTTCTTGTTAGCCCACCATCATCAGATGGTGGGGTATTCAAATCGCCCTGCGTCCGTGGTCCGTCCATCCGTCCGTAAACAATTTTTGTTACCGCTATTTCTGGGAAAGTACTGGATGGATCTTTCTCATATTTCATATGCAGTTTCCCCTTGGTCCCTAGTTGTGTATTATAGCTTTTCTGGACTGATTTGAATTCAAGATGGCCGACAGGCAGCCATCTTGGATTTTGGAAGTAAAAGTTTGTTACCGCCATTTTTGGGAAAGTACTGGATGGATCTTTTTGAAATTTCATATGCAGGTTCTCCTCGGTCCCTAGTTGTGAATTGTACCTTTTTTGGACTGATTCAAATTCAATATGGCTGACAGGCGGCCATCTTGGATTTTGGAAGTAAAAGTTTGTTACCGCTATTTCTGGGAAAGTACTGGATGGATCTTTCTCAAATTTCATATGCAGTTTCCCCTTGGTCCCTAGTTGTGCATTGTACCTTTTTTGGACTGATTCGAATTCAAGATGGCCGACAGGCAGCCATCTTGGATTTTGGAAGTAAAAGTTTGTTACCGCTATTTCTGGGAAAGTGCTGGATGGATCTTTCTCAAATTTCATATGCAGGTTCCCCTTGGTCCCTAGTTGTGCGCTGTACCTTTTTTGGACTGATTCAAATTCAATATGGCTGACAGGCAGCCATCTTGGATTTTGGAAGTAAAAGTTTGTTACCGCTATTTCTGGGAAAGTGCTGGATGGATCTTTCTCAAATTTCATATGCAGGTTCCCCTTGGTCCCTAGTTGTGCATTGTACCTTTTTGGACTGATCTGAAATCAAGATGGCTGACAAGTAGCCATCTTGGATTTTGAGATTAAAATCTTGTTACTGCTATTTCTGAGGAAGTACTGGATGGATACTTCTGATATTTCATAGGTATTGGTTTCCCTTGGTCACTAGTTGTGCATTGTACTTTTTTTTGACTGATTTGAAATCAAGTTGGCCCACACGCAGCCATCTTGGATGTCGACAGTAATACAGCACAAGCATATTTTCTTTGATATTCTATCATATTGATTCAAGACCATGTCCGTTATCCACCTGTAACTGACTGCTATCTAATAATACTTTGGGATCTTTTTCAAATGATATTTTCTAATAGGTGCTTAATAAAAATATCTTGTGCCATCATTGAGTACATTCAATGAAGACCAATTCATGAACATTTACAAAACCTGTAACAAAAAAAAATAAATCTTCAAGAACTGAAAACAGATCCACAAATGGTGGGCGCCAAGATCCCTCTGGGATCTCTTGTTACTTAATACACAATTAAGGTCACCATGACCTAATTTAATGGGTCAAAGCTACCCGATTCATTTTTGGAATTACTTGAAAAGTTGATACGATCTTATCTCTACAGTTTGATGTTATTGTGGACTTAATCAGCAGAGGAGCCCTATGGTGCTTTATAAGTAAGGTAAGTAAATGATTAGATAGCCCTTCTCTCCCTACTTCCTGTATTCCCTTGTACCAAACGTTAGCCCATTTTTCCCACTTGTATTTCACCTTATCCAACAGTAGACAATTCTCCCCACTTGTGTGTATTTCACCTTACCAAAGAGTAGCGCATTATCCCCACTTTTGTGTATTTCACCTTACCAAAGAGTAGCCCATTCACCCCACTTGTGTGTATTTCACCTTACCAAAGAGTTACCTATTCTCCCCAGTTGTATTTCACCTTTCCAAAGAGTAGCCCATTCTCCTCACTTGTGTATTTTCCCTCATCCATGGGTAGCCCATTTCCAATGCTCAGGGAAAGGTCTCATATCCCCGCTCTGCCTTGTAAAAGATTCTGTTATAATTGTTCTTTCTTCCTCCTACTCGACCTAAGAGCTTCCATTTTCCAATATACAAATGTTTTCTCTCTCTGTTCTTTTGTTCTTTTCTCCTTCAAAGATTTCTCCATTTTCTCTAGGATAATTGTTCTACAACTGCCCTTTCCATCTCCCACTGACCACAATATCCTTTCCTTAACCCCTCCCACTGACAACACTATCCTTTCCTTAACCCCTCCCACTGACCACACTATCCTTTCCTTAACCCCTCCCACTGATCACAATATCCTTTCCTTAACCCTTCCCACTGACCACACTATCCTTTCCTTAACCCCTCCCACTGACAACACTGTCCTTTCCTTAACCCCTCCCACTGACCACACTATCCTTTCCTTAACCCCTCCCACTTACAACATTTTCCTCTCCTTAACCCCTCCCAGTGACAACAATATCCTTTCCTTAACCCCTCCCAATAACCACACTATGCTTTCCTTAACCCCTCCCACTTACAACATTATCCTTACCTTAACCCCTCCCACTGACCACACCTCCTTTCCTTAACCCCTCCCACTGACCACACCTCCTTTCCTTAACGGTTGATTCTCTTCCTCTCCAGGTTGTTTTCTTTTATCTTACCACAGGATCTTCTCCCATCCTGCCCACTAGCTGGTCCTTTTGAAAATAAAAAAAAAAAAAACAAAACAAAACAAAAAACAGAGATTTGCAATATGAAAAAAATTGTCTGAATAATTCATGCACTTCACACCCCATGTCCTTTTCCATGCAGATTTTATGAAGAATTATGATTTTGGTTTTGAAAAAGAAATTATACAATTCGTACTGATTGATAATTCACAGTGGGGCTACTTTGTCATGGTGATTGAATGGATGACATTTGTTGCTACCCACAGTAGAGGGCCCAGTTGGAGGATACCAGAGAAAGATTTCCCAGTGATATGTCGGAAGGTGATGGAGAATGGTATGTTAAAAGTACAGGTCCTTCTTTTCCACATGTAAATATATACATACAATCCACTCCATGTTCCTGTCATGAAAGTCACTGAACGCAAGAATGATGTCGTGATCGTAAACTGTCAACATACCGTTGATGTAAGTTAAGAAAAAATGAAAGATTGCATTTCAAAAATATTATCTCTATGATTCACACATCCTCCCAGAATTCCTTCATGTTATTAGATTTTAGATATTCTTTATAATTCATTTAATCTGAAGTTAGTGTAACCACTGGTTTGGTTTGTCAGTATGATATGGCTGAATAGCTTACTTCATTTTGGCGTCATTTCTGCTCTATCACAAGGAGGCTTACACCAACATATTGCTGCCTCCCATAAACATATGCACTCACTTTGCAAACACTGTGATGATGTCTTTTTAATAACAATAGCTATTAACAGGACATTGAACAATAGAATACCATGCATACTTGAAAAAATCAGTCAAAAAAAAAAAAAAAATACTTTGAATTCTAAATTCTAGATCCTTCTCTGTCTTGTTGGAAAATTGACATAAATATCTTGCCTGAATTTCATTCACTTGATCTCTCTAGCTTTGTGCATCCTTTGGAGAAATGTGTGGGATCACATAATCCCTTACTTTGATGGAGGAGTAACTCACTATACATTTCAATAAGATAGAGCTATGATTTATTACTGCATAGTAATGGAGCTGACTGAGTATGTTTCTATGGCCTCAGTTGGTAGGGCCAGTTGATTATCACTTGGTAGTCCGGGGTACGATTCCTTGTCGATGCACTTAGCAGGAATTTTTTTTATCCTGTTCTTTCACACTGGCATCCGATGAAATCCCTCGGGATGTGGTATTTAGAGTCTTGGGTTAAGATTTAGAAACTCTTTAAGAAAAACAGGGGGCATAGTATATTAGGAGCAGGTGGGTATGGCTTGTACAAACTGTTAAATATGATCTCTGTCAGTCAGCCAACAGAGCATGCCTCTTTGGTAGAGCCAGTCAGAGGCCTAGGTTCTCTTCCAGGGACAGGAATGTATATTTTTCCTGTTTTTTTTTTTCAAAATACTTTTGTTGCTTGTTTTTATATGTATCAGTTACACAGAATTCTGTCCTGTTTTACCAAACAGAGAAGTTCAGTATCATTGAGTGAGTGAACATATCTTGAGAAAACTGCATGATTTCTGTACCATGTTGACAGGGTTTAAAACTCCACTTGGGACTTATGCTATAACAGGCTTGCATGTACTTCCTATCTGGCTGTATGGCTGCATGAAGGATGTCATAGTTATCTCCCTTGGACTGTCGCCATGGATTCAGCATTTTGGTACACTATTTCTGATTGGTGGCAGACTTCTTTCATTGAGAGTGGAGGTATGCATGCACTTATTCAATCATTTAGCAATTTGTCCAATTTTTATCACTTGAAGAGGTGGGAAAATCTCTATACTGATTTTAACCCGTTTTTTTTAAAATACACATTAAAACCTGTCTTGTCTAAACTCTAGGTAGTCCTAGATATTATCACACAGCTGCGAATTGATAACAAACACATGATATTGTTCATGTAACGTATCACATGAAATGTTTGATGTGTGAAACTGTTGTTTTTTGTGGCTTTAAATCAAACTACAAAAATAAAATGCAGTGAAATTAGACTTTAAAGGGAAAAAAAAATATTTGTATGTTTATGCTGTTTGTATCTATAATACAACCTTCAGACATAGATGTTATAGTCCTATTTTCAGAGTTAAATGGTATGGAGAGAAATGTTCATACGATAATTGCCTTTCCAGTTAGCTATATTCAGAGTCAGTAATTAGTGACTACCTCTGGAAGTTGTTAGCCCTAGCTACCGCCAGTCTTTGGTAAACTTGTGTTTAATCAATAAAACTCTATTTTTATGCCCATGTCTGTCCGTTGCGTCCCGTCGCGTCGCATCCCAAATCAGTATATACCACCTAATAACTTCATTCGGACCTTTCACTATTATTTCACATGGGGGGGGGGCGGGGGCATTCATGTCTTACAGACATTTTCTAGTTTTGTGATTATGATTGTGACGTGATATCTTGAATATTGTTTACAGTATTTTATTGTGTGTACATGTATTGGACGGATTCTTGTCTGGGTGATTACCTCTGATGTGTTGGACTGTACTGTAACACTACCAAGAGGTCCGAGCCAGCTTTTGTTAACCCTTGGAATGTTTATGGAGTATATTTATGGAGTTCATAATAAAAGAAAATAATGTCTGATACATGACAACATGTTTTCTTTTTATTTCCATCTTTACAGCATTATTTACAGAACAATGCATTGAAACTTGAAAATTCCACACTTCAACTATCATTTCAACAGTCTGGAAATGCCAAGGGCTAACAAAATTGAAAAAAAAAATGTGATTGATGTGACTGAAATTAGAGAAGATGTCAATTCTAATCAAACTGGAAAGGCAGCCATTTCCCATTAAGCATCAGATAAAAGGTGTTTCCACAAGCGCTCTCTAATTTGTAAATGATTCCATTTTTTTTTTAATTGTAGATTTTTTTCATTTCGAAGTACATAGCAGTCCTCCTGTCTGAAGATGATGACAAGATCTCCTGATTACCAATAGAGAACATTTAGTAACGAGGATTTAATCCATACTGTTGCCCAGAGTGTTTGTAACTTTAATTTGGTTGACAACTTGTGAGTGATCCTCAAATACAAATTAATTTTTGTGTGTCTTTTAAGTGCTCATTCATTGAATTGCACTTGACTTTTCGATTGACATATTTTTAATTCAAACGGAGGGAAACAAAATATTGCAGTATTATAACTTTTTTAGCATCACTGGCCCTAAAGCCCAAGTGGACTTGTGGCATACCACAGCATAAGTCGCCTGTCTCAGCTTTGTTTTCCTAAAAATCGCTACTAACCTAAATCACTTACAGGAGTTGGACCAAATTTGGTAAGAAGCATCCTCGGGGAAAGTATATATGGTGGGTCTCTGTATCCAGGGTCATGAGGGGTAGATCCCGAAAGGGGAAACTTCAAAATCCTACCTCTCCTGTAAGAATGATTTGAATTTTACCCAATTTGGACTGATGCATTCTTTTATTAACTGGAATCAATCTTGTATAAATGGTGGACCTCAGCCCCATGGGGCAGGGGCCCAATTGGGGAAAAAGGACAATTTATTTAAAATCTTATTTCTCCTGTAGGAATGATTGGATTTTGTCCAAAGTTTGTATGAAGCATTCTTAGGTGAATGGAATTTATTTTGTATAAACAGTGGGTCTTCAACACCATGGTGGCAGGGATGGTGCCCAAGAGCATTCTAAGGTTAAGAGGAATCAGTTTGTCATAAATTGAGGGTCTTGGTGCTCTGGGGCATTAGGGGCGAGACCAAATAGGGAAAACAGCAACAAATTCTTTAAAATCCTACTCCTCCTGTAGGAATTATTAGGTTTTGCCCAGGTTTAACCTGAAGCATTTTTAGATGAAGGGAAATCATTTGGTCTGGACCCCTTGTGGCAGAGCAATTTCTTTAAAATTCTACTCCTTCCGTAGGAATGGTTGGAATTTCCCCAAATTTGGTTTGAGGCAATGTTGTGTGAAGGAGAATTAAATTTGTATAAACAGTGAGTCGGTCCTATGGGATGGGGCCCAACAGGGGAAACAGAACAAATTCTTCAAATCCTACTCTTCATGTAAGGATGGTTGGATTATGAAAAATTTTGGTCGGAAGCATTTTTGGGTGAAGAGTAATCAATTTTGCCAGATGAGTGATACAGGCCCTGTGGGCCACTTGCCTTTTTCATGTAATACAATATCGGTCATATCAATTTGAATTCTTTAAGGTAACATGATAAAGCTTACAGGTAGTATGCAACACACTGAAATTTTGTCATTATAACCTTTACCTCTATTATGATTAATTTGTTATGATATACTGAATCTTAGAAGATTGATGTATTTACATTGTATTACCACGATGTATTTACATTGTATTACCATGACTACCATGACGTATTTACATTGTATTACCATGATGTATTTACAATGTATTACCACGATGTATTTTCATTATATTACCATGACTATTTACATTGTATTACCATGATGTATTTCCATTGTATTACCACGATGTATTTACATTGTATTACCATGACTACCATGACGTATTTACATTGTATTACCATGATGTATTTATATTATATTACCATGATGTATTTACATTGTATTACCATGATGTATTTACATTGTATTACCATGATGTATTTACATTGTATTACCATGATGTATTTACATTGTATTAACATGATGTATTTACATTGTATTAACATGATGTATTTACATTGTATTACCATGATGTATTTACAACGTATTACCATGATGTATTTACATTGTATTACCATGATGTATTTACATTGTATTAACATGATGTATTTACATGTATTACCATGATGTATTTACATTGTATTAACATGATGTATTTACATGTATTAACATGATGTATTTACATTGTATTAACACGATGTATTTACATTATATTACCATGACTATTTACATTGTATTACCGTAGGTTCAATTTACGCGCCATACCTGTTGGTACCTATCAGATTATGGAAACCATGCTGTTAATATATATTTTTTTCATCACAAAAGCAATTTTCTACTTTTGTTGTCAGGAACATTGTTGCTTTTTATTGATTTCTTTGAAAAAAATAATTTATTCTCAAGAATGTGATAATATTTTTTAAACAAAGACAGATATTCTTAATACTCTTATGTTTGTTAGGTTGTGTGTATGAATGATTGTTACAACAAAAGCAAAGTTGTTACGTTACTCTTTATTATTTAAATATACATGTATGTCTGTATTTGTAAATATGAACATTTTTATTGTATAAATACTCAGGGAACACAATTTACCTCATTTTAACTTTATAAACTTTAATAAATTAAGTATCACTGCATACATCTTTATTTACATGTGTGATTTAAAGTCACTTTTGAGAGAAAATGTCACATTGTTGTTGATGTAAAATGTATCTCATTCATTAATTACAAAGTCATGTTTAGGAAGGCATTACTGAGTGTCAAGATATTGTTAATGACCTTTGACTTCTATATATGTTACCTTTGACCTTTGACAAAATTCAATTGATCTTAGTGATTTTTACAGTTGCTGATTATTTAGAAAACCTGTGGCAAGTCTTCTAACAATGGACCTTTTAAACATTTAAGTGACCTTTGACTTTTAACATTAACCTCTGAGATCCCCTAAGGCTACTACATTATGATTATCTAACTGTTTGATGTTGTGACCCTTGACTCTTATCATGACCTCCAAGACTGGCACTGTCTGCTATCTTTACTTATATCAGTCAACTGTTAGCTATAATGACCCTTGACCTTTATGATGTCCTTTACGGCTGCCGCTGTCTGCTGTGTTTACTTAAGTCACATTCGACTGTCTGTTATAATGACCCTTGACCTTTATCATGTCCTTTACGACTGCCGCTGTCTGCTGTGTTTACTGAAGTCACATTCGCCTGTCTGTTATAATGACCCTTGACCTTTATCATTGTTCAGTGCTTTAGACTTTTTTTTATTTTTTAAATGACCTCATTCTTTATATTTCCTTGTCTATTGTAATGACCTCTGACTTTGAATGCCTGTGTTCAGTCTGTTTGCACTGTTGGCTCAATTTCCACCCTTTTTCTATACATGTGTACTTTCTTGTTTGGTTTACTTAATTCTAACATACTGGTGCATGCTATGCTAGGTACTTACTTGTTGTCAGATCTTTTTCTGCCAAAGATATCTCTGACCTATATTCTACCATGGTGACCTATGACCTTAACTTTGTTATGGTGATCTATGACCTTCACACTGCCATGGTGATCTCTGATTCATCTGACCTTTGAAATCAACGAATGCTTCCACTCTGTGCAACAGTTGCCTCATACATTATTGTGGTCTGCTGTCAGTTGAACATTATATTAACATTTTCATTCTCAGTGTGCAATATGTATTGCAACATTAAGCATTCAGAATAACAAATTATTCACGTCGTGCTAGTTACATCTGATCTTTCGTATGCTAATACAGAATGACCTCTGACCTTTAGAACTTGCGCTAAGGGATTAAAACTGAAGTCAAAATATTGAGACTAAAGATCGTGACTGTGCTGTTAATGTGAATGTTGTGTAGTAAATATGTAAAATATATAAAACACACAAAAAAAATAAACAAAAGAAATCACATTCATAGATATAAGGATATAAGGAAGACCTTGACAGGATGAGATATGTGTTATTAAACACCAGTACGGGTAAGTGTATAGCAAATTAAGTTGTTAGGATGTACAATCATGTTTTTATTGCATTTATTACAATGGCTTGTAAACCTTGATTTTTTTTTATGGGTTTTATATACATGTCTATTGTTAAATATATTTACCAAAACTTGTAAACATACCATTGATGTATATTGTCTATTTTACATAGAAAACAAGTTATTTTATGTATTGAAGACTTAATATTGACCATGATATCCAAATTTTGTTCTCAACTCTGTGTTTATTTATGTAAGTTAGACTTGAGTTCCCCAGTTTTAAATAATTTTGTTCAAATATTTTAATTTTCATGACAATACTTACACTGTATGATAAAATTTACTATTAATGAAACATGAGATGCATGTACATTTCACCCGTACAAACATGTTAGAAATTGTTGGATATCTACTTTGTGTTGTAAACCCTAATTTATTTTACAATTTATGATTGATTTAAGAAATTTATCTCTGTACCCAAAAAACCCATCTTCCATCCATCGGACCTGTAGATCCACTCTCTTGACCTACAAGGTAATTCACAACAAAATGTTTCATCCACCAGACCTATATAGATCTAAGAGTTTTATTATTCTTGAAAAGTCACAACTTTACACACAGAAACCAACTTCAATCCACCAGACCTACAGATGTAAGAATTTTATTATTCTTAGAAAACCACAACTTTAAACACAGAACCCATCTACTATACAACAGACAGGTAGACCCACCCTCTCAAGTTAAACGTTTACGTAAGAATTTTATCATTCTCTGTTTGTGATATTTAATTAAATGTGTCTGTATGAAATATGTGTTTTTGTTGTTTTTCTTACCCGACTAAAACGATGATAAGTTAAATAAAGAGCATACATCTGTGACAATCAAACAATGTTAAAATACCCAGTAATATTTAATGTCTTAAAATATGAAGTAAACTCTTATAAAATCTAACTATGCTTGGTGAGATCACAAGTTTAATGGGAACTAATAATGTATAGATTAAACCTCAATAATCCAGATACCTCAGTCAATATGTCCATGTGGTTTCCCAAAAGTAGTTCCAGATGCAGAATTAAATGATCAGACTAGTGAGCATAAATAACATTTTAAAAATCATAAATTTTTCCATCTGGATCATGAGTTTTCCTTACTATCAGGATCTACATTATCACAGGTTTACTTTGGTTAAAGTTTTACTTTCTACTTCTGATTAACAAATCTATATGGAAAAACTTTAAAAGTGAAAAGGTTGAAGTCAACTTTCCAGAGCAGGGCAAGACATAAACAAACACAACATCTAATGATTAATTTATCCATTCTGCATCCAATAAAAAATTTAATACAATAAATTATTCCAGTATCTGTTGCATTACACAATTCTTATAAATTGAAAAACACTTCACTTCAGACTTGAGTGTGCACATGTTTTCCAGACTTGAGTGTGCACATGTTTTCCAGACTTGAGTGTGCACATGTTTTCCAGACTTGAGTGTACACATGTTTTCCAGACTTGAGTGTGCACGTTTTCCAGACTTGAGTGTGCACATGTTTTCCAGACTTGAGTGTGCACATGTTTTCCAGACTTGAGTGTACACATGTTTTCCAGACTTGAGTGTGCACATGTTTTCCATCCCAATTATGATCATTGATAAAATACCAATATTCTCCATAATCGAAATTATCTGTAGCCTTCCACACGTTTTGACAAGTTTATACAGAATCCAGCAAGTCAGTTGAATGTACTTCAGCTTTGCATCACTTATAATCAATGTTTCAACTATGTTATTGTGCTTTTTTCACTTCTGCTGTATAGACTTGGTAGAAGCAGAAAAAACTTTCTGCTTTTAAAACTTGACATTAACGCGTAAACACGTCATAGTCAGAAAGAGTTAAGAGTCTTGTAATCCACAGGATCCTACAGTTATCACAACAGGTTGTAGGCAACCTTTGTAGCTTCTATCACCCCTGGTGAGATATTCTTCTTGAATCCTGCAGCGATCTCCGTCATTGTGAGAATCTGACGGGCTAATGTCATTCTCTCAGCATCTGTCTGTAAAGAAATATTCGGTATCTGAAGTTTTCACCAAGTTCTTGTTCAATCGTACGGAGATCATTAACATGCTATAAAAAACTTCTGACAGGTTATGGTTTGTGATATTAACTTCTGACAGGTTATGGTTTATGATATTAACTTCTGACAGGTTATGGTTTATGATATTAACTTCTGACAGGTTATGGTTTGTGATATTAACTTCTGACAGGTTATGGTTTGTGATATTAACTTCTGACAGGTTATGGTGTGTGATATTAACTTCTGACAGGTTATGGTTTGTGATATTAACTTCTGACAGGTTATGGTGTGTGATATTAACTTCTGACAGGTTATGGTTTGTGATATTAACTTCTGACAGGTTATGGTTTGTGATATTAACTTCTGACAGGTTATGGTTTGTGATATTAACTTCTGACAGGTTATGGTTTGTGATATTAACTTCTGACAGGTTATGGTTTGTGATATTAACTTCTGACAGGTTATGGTTTAGGATATTAACTTCGGACAGGTTATGGTGTGTGATATTAACTTCTGACAGGTTATGGTTTGTGATATTAACTTCTGACAGGTTATGGTTTGTGATATTAACTTCGGACAGGTTATGGTTTATGATATTAACTTCTGACAGGTTATGGTTTAGGATATTAACTTCTTACCAATCACTTTAAATAATTCAGTGAAAAATTCCAAAACACATTGTAACCTTGGAAACTCATATTCTTTTGATATCTGATTGAAGTTAAGGATTAGTTACCAATTCAAGAACTACCAGTATGTAGAAGTTGAGGGTAAAGGTCATCTTATTAGCCTGGACTTGTGTGTTTCTCAGTAGAACAGAGGTCACATGTCAGCTAGAGAGCATGAGTTTGCTCGTTTAAGTGGCAGTGGGGACAGAACATATTATCATTACTTGTTCCTATTACAAGTATTTTACAACAAGTTAAGTACTATTTCAGGATGTATTTGTTTACATAGGGATGGTATAGTGTCAGACAACACATACCTCCAAACCGCCATACAAAATGGGGGCCCCACAATAATCTGCCAGACTGGTCAGCACCTCAAGGTGAACACATCGGGAAGCGTGGTTTTTCACTGGAAAAGGAAAAAGTAAAACTAGCTACCTGTACATTTTATAACAACATGCAAATGACATAAGTGAAATACCAGGTAGATATTACAAAACATCAGCACTTCAAACACAGTATTTTGATAATGTCACAAGCACTTTCTATTGTAAACTTTAATTTTGTGAGTACTTAAATTAAAAAGCTTTTATGTCAAACTTTTTAACCCTTAGAAATGAAATGGAATGTTTACCAAAATAATCATATTGAGGTAAGCAGTGTGCATGAGTATGAACTCGAAGGAGTTCCAACCTTCCATACTTGACAAATACGTATAGCTATTTCAGTGCATCTTCATTGTTAATACTTTCAAAACTTATCAGTCTACCAGAAAGGATGGCCTTAAAATGTCTTCTTTTATGATATGTATACAATGTATGCTTGTGAAGACAATTTCTATAACTGTACTTCTCTAAGCTCCCAAAATTTTTATCATACATCTTAACATATCTCTCTGTGGAAACTTTATGAACTCTTAACAACTCAAAATAATATATCTACTGTGAATACTAAAACTAAATTGACTCAAGTAATCTTATTTCTTTTTCTCAGGTTCATGATAAATATACAGAACTTTCTTTTTAAGTCTCAATATACCATGTAACCCTATCAGACATACTGAAGCTTCTCAATCTAGAATACTTTTACCTGCTTATGTAGTTTTATGCTTCAAACACATTTTCATCTAATTTGCATTAAAATTAGGATTATGCTAATAACAAGAGGCCAAATGGGCCTGCAGTGCTCACCTAGTATATATACCAGTAAAATATCATGCCTCTCGGCCTTTCGGTTCATGAGAAAAATTTGTTAAATTTTATTCAACAAATTTTATCCCTGTGACCTTTGATATGAGTCAAGGTCATTTTTTTCGCAAACTTTGTTGGGTTTCATCTTAGGAGCATACCAGCCAAATATCATAACATATAGTCAATTGGTTATTGAGAAGAAGTTGTTTGAAGAAAAAAGTTAATGCCGGATGGATGCCACGCCAAAGCAAAGCTCACTTGACCCATTGGGCCTGATGAGCTAATGAGAAAAAAGTTCAAGCAAACCTTTCAGGGCTACAAAGCAAGCTCTTCCCAGAAAATATCGTCCATCAATGTATTTTAATGACTCTTCGATATTGTTGAAACTGAAAAAGAAGAGCTGATGTAATTTTTTTTTCTTTGTTAGTAATTAGTAAAGTTGTATAGAAAGTTAAAATAAACACCCACTCTCTCTTACAATATTAAAACAAATGACAATGTAAACATTTTTTTTCCTGTCAGATATTTTCAAACATAACCGGTTTTTTTATGTGACCTTGAACCTACTTAATCATAAGGTATTGAAATGAACAGAAATTTTTTCACATTACAGGTAAGCATCTTGTAGAATAAGAATCTTTTAGAAAAATTTATTTCATTTAAACATTTACTTTATTATGCTGCCTGAAAATGTTTGAGGGGAGCATATAGTTGCCACCTTGTCCGTCTATCCTTTCGTTTCTGAATTATACATTGGCCCACAATTAAACAAGGATCAAGAAACTTGGTGTATACATTGTTCATACTAAGGAGATATGCAGTGTGCCAAATTCAGGACCAGTACCCCCTTAATTACAGTGTTATTGCCCTTTGTTGAAATTGTTTGTCCAGGGCCAATCTTTAAATTGGTTGCATTAAAACAAGGATAATGAAACTTGGTGGACACATTGATCATGACAATGTGCAGTGTACCAATATTAGGGCCTGCAACCCCTTAATCACAGAGTTATTGCCCTTTGTTAAAATTACTTGGCCTGCATTTATTGAAAGGCTAGTATACATCAGTCATACAAAAACAAGGTACAATGTAGCAATGTCAGGGCCCATGACACTTCAGTACAGAGTTATTCCTCTTTGTTAACATTTTATGTCATGAGATTAGCTTTGTTTGCTTAAAAACCAGGATCATGAAACTTTGGACTATACATTGGTCATATTAAGACAATGTGTAGTATACCAAGTTCCAGGCCTGCAATCTGTTGATTACAGAATTAATGTCCTTTGTTAAAATTTTGTGTCCAAAATAAAGCCATTTTTGGGGAGCATTCATTAGTTTTACTGATATTCTTGATCAATAATTCAACAATATCACACATACATACATCTTAGATGAAAAAACTACCTTCAAGCTAATATAAAATTTTTGAAAATTTTAAACCATATTTTTAGGGATATTTAAGGATCTATGCCTGCAAAGTCTAGCCAGATGCTTTACTGTTCAAAGGAGCTATCATGCAACCCGATTTTCCTTATATATATATGTACAGTCTGGGGTATAGAGAGAGATTTAAGAACTTTTACCTCTCAAATTCATTTTAGTAATACTGATAGGTCACTTAAGAATCCATACAAGGGGGAGAAAGATTCAATGTCTTTTTCCATAGTCTGTCATTGGTAACACTGGGGTAAGATTTGAGGCATCTCTCTTCCTCATGCTTAGCCGTGGATAATACTTGAAGGGGATTAAAGAAATATATTTCTTTTATAGTGACTTTAAGATTCATATAGTAAGGTGATTTCAAAATTTGTTCTCAAGAAATTTTCAAAATTTTCAGCGACAAAAACTTTGCAATATGGCAACATCATCATACGCTACATAGGTAAATGCTATATTTATGGAGGTAGTCACTATACATATAGGATAAAAGATGTCTCTTACAAAGATGTTTTTTTAATGTATTAACCCTATATAACATACCTTTCTTTATTGGTTACATCAATCAGGAAACAGGCAAAATCAATACGTGGCCGAGATGTCTCTGTATTGGAGGCAAGAGGAAGGCTTACAGCTGTACGACTGAAAAAATAGAAATAATTTATAAGTATTACGATAACTAACAACTGATACATTACATGTTATAAATACAATCCTCTAATTAACTGTAAAACAAATGTCATGACCGATCTACAAATAAAGTAAACTTTATATAAAAGCAAGCAACCTAATTCTAAAATCATCTGTTATTGGTTATCTAACGACTTAGTTAATTAAAAATAGCATTATTTCAAGTATGCTATTTTCAACAAGAGATCCAAAGGCGTTAAGGGTTACAGGACTTTAAAAGACATATACAGTATTGTAATCATAATAGTGGGAATAATAACTGAATATGAATCAAGAGTATCAGTGAAACTGATGGGTGCTTCCCGAAAATGACTATATTGGACCAAAATTTTAATATAGGGCCATAATTCTGTATCTCAGGGGTTACAGGACATGAAGTTGGTATACTGCACATCCTCTTAATATGACCAATGTAACCACCAAGTTTCATGATCCTAGTTTTAATGCAAGCAAAGCTATGCTCATGACATAAAATTTTAACAAAGGGCAATAACTCTGTAATTACAGAATTGATGGCCCTAATTTTAGTACACTGCATATTGTCTTTAAATTATTGTTTCATTATTCATGCATGAATGCAAACAAAGTTATGCTTTGGACAATATATTTAAAAAAAAAAGGCAATAATTTTGTAATTGAGAGGTCTAGGGTCCTTGCTTAGTACAAACCACACTGTCTTAGTATGATAAATGTAAGTTTCATGATTCTGGCTTAATTGTGGGCAAAGTTATGCTTCAGACAAGAAATTTTTAACAAAGGGCAATAACTCTGTAATGAAAAGGTTGCGGACCTTAACATTGGTACACTGTACACTGTCTTTTTGTGATCAATGTATCCACCAAGTTTCATTATCTTAGTTTTAATGCATGCAATTTAAAGTTTTGATCTGTATACAAAATTTTAACAAAGGGCAAAAACTCTGTAATTAAGGAGTTGCTGGTCTTGAATTCAGTACACTGCACTTCTCCTAAGTATGATCAATATATAAACCAAGTTTCATTATCCAAGCAAAGTTACATTCTGGAAATTAAATTTTAATGAAGGACAATAACTCTGTAATTGAGGGATCAAGTGCCATTAATTTGGTACACTGCACATCCTCTTATTATGACCAAAGTATACACCAAGTTTCATTATCCTTGTTTAACTGTGGGCCAAGTTATGCTCTAAACATGAAAGGATGGACAGAGAAAATATTTTAGGGAAGCATAAAATTTCTCAGTTTTATCAGGAAATGTGACCTCAAAAAGCTTCTCTGATTTCAACATTTCCTGTAAACTCTTCTCAATGCAAAGGGCACCAAAGAAACTGGAAAAGATTTAAAAGTGTTGTTTTTTTTCAAATTGCTGCCATACTGGATTTTTTACTAGTTTGAAACAAATATAAGAACGCTTGTCAGGACCATCTCAAGATCATTTCAGTCAAGCTTTTGAACTTTAAAATGTTCAGGGAAACCATGATTGTGTAATCATATTCCAAAATGGCCACCATGCTCAGTGGCACTAATGAAACAGGAAAAGAAATTTAAATTAAATGAGTTTTTCAAGCTGGCGATCGTGGAATCAATATTGATTTTTGGATCCAAAAAACAACAGAATTGGTGGACGTCAGGATTTGTCTCAGGATCACTACAGTTTAGTCTGAGCTCAAATCTTACAGATGAAATTTGAGAAGTTGAAAGTTAGAACCATACATTTGAGGCTAGTTTGAAACTTAAATTCCACTAGCTAGCAGAACTTTAAAAAGTTTGAAATAGGTGCTGTTCAGTCAATTGTACAAACATGTTACAAAATGGTTGCCATGGCTACCATGTTAAACTTTTAACCAGGCAAATATAACAATTATTGCGTGATGTACTTCAACCAGTTGTGATCTTGATGAAATTTTACATTTAGTAGGAAACATCAGTATTTATTCCTACAATATTCTTTAGTTCTGATAATACTTACACTTCGCGGATGTTAGGCAAGCCAATCAGTACAAACCTGTTTCTAAACATTTCACTTCCAACAACCACCGCCAGGAGGATATCTCTGATCATCGGCCTTGCCATCACGGAACCGAATATTAACATACGCCTACACACAGAGGAGGCCTATATCGCCTACCTAAACACCACGGAGGCATCTGGTTTAAACATACGCCACTAACTATATAATGCACTGTTTTTATACACACCACGAACTGATTAATTGCTTTATTCTTTATATAATGTATTTGCCTTTAATTCACGACATGAACTGTAATGTCCTTAATATAGATAGCCATGAAGACTCTCATATATATTTAATTTTGCCTGGCCCGTTATACCTATAGTATATTTCTAGCGTAATTTCACATTACCTATGTGTCACAGAATAAGAACATTTTCGTTTTACCACGTAACTATTTTTCTAATAACAGGATATTGTTTAGGATGTCTTCTGAATAGTTTCACTCTTACACCTGTAGTTTTATTTATCTATTTCCGCTATTGTAGGACTATCTATCGCATCATCCCTTCTATGTATTGTTCATGATGACACCATTTCATGTTGTTTTTATCAAGATTGATAATATTTGAATATTGTTGTTCTGATGACGGATCGCTTGGATCCGAAACGTGTTAACAACTCTCAGCACGAATAAATCGTGGATTGGACCGGAACTGCTTTGTGTTATGCCTACTCCTGACGTCTATTCTACTTATTTATAGTGGGTACTCGGTATCCTTTCGGATCCACGGCTGTTCCCGGAAGGGATTTCCTGATTTTAATGTTTGCGGGACGTTGTGTCTCCACCCCCCCCCCCCCCCCCCGTTGTTAATACTTACACTTGGTAGGAAACATCAGTATCTATTCCTACAATACTCTTTGCCAGGTCATGCTTGCCAACACCCTCACTACCAATTAGCTGAAACAGTAACAATAAGCTTAAAAAGTTAAAAAGATTTTTTCAATTACCTTTAAATCGTCCTCTATTACGATCACTTCAAGTTCATAAGAAAAGATCCTCAAGACTTTGGTTCAGAGCAGTGTTTTTGCTCTTAATTATACAAAATTTGAACATTTCTCTGAAGAAATAAAGATGATTAACTGCCAAATCTAAGATGCTTGTCTGTCAGCCATTTTCATATTTTGATCAGTCCCAAAACAAACGGACAAAACTAGGAACCAAGGGGAACCTACATAAAGAGCTTGAGAGAGATCCATCTAAATCTCAAAAAAAAATTGCAAAGAATAACAAACTTTCATTGTTGAAATCCAAGATAGTCAGGTGTAATTTATCTATATATATACACACTACATTTGTGAAAGAAAAGGGAAAATACGATTTTTTTCTGTTGTGTTCCCCTATCAGGAATCAAACTTGTGTCATTTGCATGATAAATGATCATAACTGGTTTACAAAAACAGCCAAAAAAGTATGCACCATAAACTGAGTGACAGCGACTGTATTTAACGCTCTATATTTACAAGCAATATTGAACCACTCTTTTTGTTTTAACACTTCTCAAGTTTTTCTTGAGATTTCCTAAATCTCAACCCAGGACTGTGAAAGAACTGGGAAAAAATACATTCCTGTTAATAGTCTGGCCAGGAATTGGACCTGGGTCTCCAGTGTGATAATTGTTCATGACTGACTCTGCCAACATAGCCGAAGAAGCATGCTCTGTCAGCTAAGTGACAAAGACTGTATTTAACATTATATACAAGCCACATCGACCCACTCCTTAATCTCAATGCAAGACTCTAATTACCATGTTGGGTGACAATGTTAAAGAACAGTTAAAATACAAATTCCTGTTGCGTGCCCCAACCAGGAATCAAACTCAGGTCTCTAGTATGATACTTCATCATAACTGGTTCTACAAACTGAGCCAAACAAGTATGCCCCGTTAGCTGAGAGAGACTGTATTTAGAATTATATACAAGCAACACTGACCTGCTCCTTTTACATTACTCTGTCGTGCTAGACTTCAAATTCTATCCGAACAAATATCCAACTGTTTAAACAAAAACATGCTTTTTATTGTAACACATCCTTGATACTCAAGGGTTTACGATCACACTTTCACTCTCTGCACCCCTGGAACATGTCAGGTCAAAATTGAAGGCACAAGTGAAGTAATTTGATGGTTTCCAGGAGAAACAAACTGACCAGCCTGATATGCTCCTTTTGAAGATTATAAAGAAGCGACACCCAACTTCAAAGCTATTACAATATACTGTTATGCGACCTCAAGGTTGGTTTGATGTCCATAAAAGAATCAAACGAGTCTTTTCGTCCTGTCCAAAGGTGTCGCACATGGAACCTTCAATCTTGCCATGACACGTTCCAGAGGTGCAGAGAGCAAAAATTGAGTATCGAGGATGGTTGAAATGGAGAAAATTATTTGTTTCAATTTATTCAATGTAATCTTCCGCAACCATCCGTATGTTTACAAAATTTGTAAACTATCCAATGTTGTAAATGGTAAAGAACCTTGTCTCTGGCATGATAACAAATCAAATGATAACTGCGCCAAAGAAGCATTGCTCCGTCAGCTGAGCAAAAGAAACTGTATTTAACACTCATAGATAAAATCAACATCAACACTTTCAAGGATTATTGGTAACACCGACATTGGCTGAAGCCTTTTACAGACCCAGATTTGTCATGCCAATGCTCTTTTAAAGTACTGCATATTCAGAGGGGATACAGTGAACACTTATTTCAACCATACTCATTTACAAAAAGATGCAGACACAAATTATACTTTTGAAATTTCTTCATCAAAATGTCACATCATTCTATTGGATTTTTCTACCACCGTATGCCGACACAGGATCTCCTTGATCATGCGACGTCATCATCAATCTGAAGTACTGATATGTCTCGATCGCGAGCTCCGAAACACACACCTACAACTTTCCATAGTTTACATATTTGTAAACATAGCGACGGTTACTGAAGATTTCATTGACACATATAATCATCTCCATTACAATAAACAATAGGGTTTTTTTGTTAAAACAGTTCGAATTTTGTTTGGGAGGAATTCGAAGACTAGCACATCGGTCAAGAATTCCAACTACATGTACTGTACAATACGTATACTTGCTCCGAAACCAATGTCTGTGGTTTAAAGTCTACGTGTTGTCAATTTGTATTGTTTACCAAAATCGTAGCGGTGTGAAGCAAAGGTAGTTTGTCGAAAGGTTTCAGGATGAGGTGTTCACTTTCAACTGCAGTCATCTCGAGTTATTTAAGCAACGTCAGTACCATAACATATTTCCATCTTCGAACTTGGCGGGAGCAACCTCTATCGGATGTTTGATCGTGCAACTAAATGCGGATCCGTACATCCGATGTTCCCGGGCGTGGATTAGAAACTTGTCTAATAGCAAAAATCTCAACAACGGAATTGTCGATAATTCAAATTTTATAAAAAAAAATTTACAATTTGTATAAGTGTTTTTGAAATAGGTAAATTCCTGATAGAATTGGGAAAAAAACCCACCAAAATAGATAAATAACCACTTTCATATCTCTCCTATTTTTTCCAGCTCACATTTTGAATGAAAATCACCAATATTTGTGAATGACAAAATATATTTCGACCAAATATGGTCAAAAGCATCCTTTGGAGGATGGGAACCGAGTTTGTATAAAATATGGTTCTCGCACAGGGCTTAAGTAGGGAAACTTAGCAAGTTCTTTAACATCCTTCTTGTTCTGTAGGAATGATTGGATTTTTCCCCATATTTTGTCTAAAGCATCCTTGGAAGAAGGGCAATCAATTTTGTTTAAACAGTTGTTCTTGCTCCTCTGGGGCAGGAGTGGGTGGGGGGAAACAATGAGAAAAACATATGATTTTTTTTTAATTCTTCTTACCGTATATATAGGAAAATCAGGATTCTGTTCTAATACATTGGTCTTGGCCATGAGGGCTGAAGGGGAAGGCGAGTCCAAATACTGGAAAGGAAAATAGGGGAAATTCTTTAAAATCTGTCTACTTCTCAGGAATGCCTGGAATCTGTCCCACTTCAGTCTAAAACATCCTTTGGGTGAAGAGGAGTTAGCTTTGCATAAATGATGGGTCATGGGCCACTGGGGCAGCAGAGCCAAATAGGGGAAACAAAGAAAATTCTTTACATTCCTTCTTCTTTTGTGGGAATGTCATGATTGTATCCAAATTTGATTTGAAGCATACCTTGATGAAAAGAATCCAATTTTGTAATAACCAGGAGTCTGATCCCTCTCTGAGGCCAAAATGTGCTGGGCCTGAGAGAAACTGTAGTACAGTGCAAGTCCTCAAAATCCTTGTTCCATACAAAGATATTGTCCATGATTGAATGTTTAAAATCTTGAGCATTCTTTGGAGAATGGGACTTCTGTTTGACCACAAGGCCCAATAGGATAATTATTCAATATTTTTTTCTTAGATTTAGAAGATCTTTGTTAAATGACTAAATAGCTGAATAAGCCAGATGAGCAATACTGACCCTCTAGGCCCTATGGGCCTCTTGTTTAAATAATATTTTTGGTGAATGATAAATTCTAATAGCTAAGGAAGCGCATGTCCACCAAAATTAGTATTTTTCTTACAATCTAATTTGTCTTATTTAAGTATTCATGTTTACCAATGTAACCCTAACTAACAATATTTACATTCTAATTCTGCTTCATGAATTTCTCATTATCTTCCTTGTTTACCTTAATTATTCATGACAATTAGACGTCTGTAATCTTCTATTGCATTATTTCTGTCTGCAATTTGCAGTATGCTGTGCATTTAGAATGATATTTACACACTTGTCACTCAGCAACAAGATATTTCAAGGTCACAGATGTCACATGTCTTGTGATATTTAAATTTGTGATATTTTCAATAAATAAAACGTCATCTGGACAGGATATTGGGGCTGTAGCATGCTAGTTGCAGAGTTACCAAGTTTGTTCAAACAAATGACCTTGATCAACTTTCACGGTCATGCAATATCCTTGGATATAGAGTAACAAAGTTTTTTTTTTCAGATAAATGAAGGTAACATGTCTTTAAAATTTTAAACTAGTTCATCTTTATAATCAAAAGTCCAAGGACACTGATATTTGGTCATTATCATGCTTGTTTTAAGGTCTATTTTCAAGGTCACAAGGGTCAAATGTGTTAAAATCATCATGTAAGTTCTCAATAAACAGAGCACAGCTGGTCATGATATAGAACCAGTTTCAACCTGGGATAAAGGGCTGCCAATTTATTACAGTCCACTTTAACTGTGAAGAATGCAAGGCATGAACCTGAAAGTTACCAAAATAAACTAGTTATACAGGCTAATTTGGCCCCTTGTATATATTGTTGTGTTTTGTGAATGAAGTAGGACTAGTGTACCTCTGGTGTAAAGTGAATTGTCTCCCTTTATCACTATCATTGTGTAATAAAGCAGCAGTTTTCAATCTGTTAAATCTCCTGCTGTAGATATGTTTAGTATAAACTTCAAAAGATAAAATTTTGTTTAATTTACCGCCAGTAATACCTGTTCCTGTCGTATAGATTACCATGTACCTTACATACTGCCATGTTAGCTCTAAACGATGGAAACAAAACCATGAAGACTATACCATCTGTGGTCATCATTTTATTAACAAACTGCACACTGAAGACAAAGGACTCCAGAGGCCTATAATGTCAAACATCAGCCTGAAATGCTTCATATCTTTATGTACAAAATTCTCAATCTTGCCATATCTAAATTATGTTTTGTACAGTGATGACATCACAGCATCACATGATGAACTTCAGGTGATACAAGTAACATACACCACTTCCTTATAAGGTAAAGCACAAGATTTTCATCCACAATACATCAATAACGTGGCATTATAATAGTTTTTGGACAGAGAAATTTAGAACAAACTTGTTAACAAAACATTGTACATACATTTACTTTACAAATCTTTCCTTCCACACTAAAAATGGAATATACATATTAATAAACTTGACGTAATGGACGAAACCAATGTACAAGGTTGTTAAGTACAATTGTGAGGAAGCAATCTGTCATCCCTGTTAATAACAATGAGAGAATCCGTAGATGAGTCCATTGTCAGTAAGAGGATGGAAGGTGAAGGCCAGAACCTTTGTATTTAATTTAAATTTTAGTTAACCAAGTACAAACCAGAAAGTAGTGTAACACAGGGACCAGACAAATGTCTGTTATCAGTGTAAACACACAAACCAGAAGGTAGTGTAACACAGGGGCAAGACAAATGTCTGTTATCAGTTAGTTCACCAAACCAGAAGGTAGTGTAACACAGGGGCCAGACAAATGTCTGTTATCAGTGTAAACACACAAACCAGAAAGTAGTGTAACACAGGAGCCAGACAAATGTCTGTTATCAGTGTAAACACACAAACCAGAAAGTAGTGTAACACAGGGACCTGACAAATGTCTGTTATCAGCTAGTTCACCAAGCCAGAAGGTAGTGTAACACAGGGACCTGACAAATATCTGTTATCAGTGTAAACACACAAACCAGAAGGTAGTGTAACACAGGGGCCAGACAAATGTCTGTTATCAGTGTAAACACACAGACCAGAAGGTAGTGTAACACAGGGACCTGACAAATGTCTGTTATCAGTGTAAACACACAGACCAGAAGGTAGTGTAACACAGGGGCCAGCCAAATGTCTGTTATCAGTGTAAACACACAAACCAGAAGGAAGTGTAACACAGGGGCCAGACAAATGTCTGTTATCAGATATTCACTGCTACCTACTACTTCAGGTCGATACAGAAGTCAACACAGGACTATAGATGTAGATAATGGACTGTTACAGTCACAAACAAAAGACAAACACTAACATAATACACCATTTAACACCATTCTATACCACTGGTATAACATAGATAATTGAATAATATCGTATTAAAATGAGGAATGGTTGTCAACTTAAATAAAACAATTTTCCCAACGGGATGGTTAATATATGATTATCAGAAAACTGAGGAATGTATATACTTGACATAATTACACAGAAATTAGAATGCAATCACAAAAATAGGTCTGGAATTGTTAAAGATGGAATGTGTATTCTGAGTATATGAAAAAATTCAATCTTAAGGAAATGAAAGTTCCCTCTCTCTCTTACTAAAACATGTATATAATTATGCCATTTTTTTTAATATAAAACACAAGTTTGTTACACATATAGTGTATGCTGGAGATAACCAGTATTGAGAATTCTATTGTCAAGCCACTTAACTTTTTTTAACTGATGAAAAGAAAACAAGATTTTTCTTGAATTGCAAAAAGGAAATAAAACAAGAGACAAATTGTACCTTTAGTATTTAGTGTTTATCGACAGATGAGGAGGTGACCAATCCTTCCTCAGGCTGAGATATATGAAGCATACACATACCCGATACTCATTTCAAGCATTGCAACATTTCAGGTGCAGTGACATTCAGAATAAGGAAATTCCTAGATGACCTTGACTTTTGATCTGATGACCTTGAACTTAATAAACTAAATTTTATATCAATAAAAATCAGCCAGTTAAGAGAAACAAAATTTGATCTCTGTTTAATTGAATCTTTGACTTCAATCTGTGGTCAGATGCTTACTTAAGTCTACTCCAGATTATCTAAACAACATTTGGCCTTGACCTTCAGTCAGGGTCAGTCACTTTCTGTTTTACTCTAGCAAATAATTCAGTGTTTCATTCGAACCTTCATATAAATGTTTCAGTTTTGGTTGCATCAAAAATTTAAATGCCCACATCATCAAAATAAGACTGATAGGGTGATGTAAAGCAATTGCTCAAGGACAAACAGACAGATGGACGGACAAAGGAATACCATGATAACACACATTAAAACTGGTGTATAAAAAGCCATCTAAAACTGATCTTCAGGAATTGTTATGAAAAAAACCACCCTAGGTGCATTTAATAGCCGACTAAAACAACCATATTTATTCTTTACATATTTGAGTCTTGTCACAGAAAATAAAACATCAGTGACATAGTAGAAAGGTAAAATTTTCGACATTTAAAACAATTGATTTGGCATATTGTTTCCTTAGTCATATGTATAGAATTCTGGGTAATATGCTGTATACACAATCAATATTGTTTACTACTAACGTTTAAAATAATATCAAATGCCAATATGGCTACATGACATGTAACATACAAATGAATAAATAAATAAGTTAGATAAATTAACAAATTCAAATATTGCACATCAAATAAATAGATATATTAAAATAAATAATACGTCATTGATTCGATCAAACATCACGACAACTTGACAATTTTTTATCTATACATTATTGTATATCTTTACCAGTTATATTTTTAACAGTCTTGATGATTCTGTCATTACAAACATGACTATCATTGAATTTTTTTTCTTAATGCGCTGCTTACGCTAAATACTATTAAAGACATAAGCAATATCTGAATATAATTCTATGTTCCTTTTGAGATACCAGGGGACTAACGTCCTGCTTATCAGGATGATATAAAACATTTCTCATTTAGATCATATAAAACATTATGGTTATTATGAAACATTTCTGATTTACATTATATAAAACATTTTTCATTAAAGGTTATTTGAAACATTTTCGATATGAAACATTTCTGATTCGGATTATACAAAACATTTCCCATGTAGGTTATATGAAACATTTCTCATTCTGACTAGTACATCTGTTTTAGAAAAAGTACTATCATACAACATTGTTCTACAACCACATAAAAGATTCCATTAATTGATAACATAAATATACAACCACACTAAATTAATAGCATGTATATCATTATACTCAACTTTTATAACATCCCATCAATATTCCCATTACCGGTAGTTACAGCTACGTGAAAGTCTCTTACAATGATTCCACATCATAATTGTCCATCAATATTCCCATTAATAACAGGTACATGAAATTTTCCTACAATGATTCCACATCATAACATCCCATCAATATTCCCATTAATAACAGGTATGTGAAATTTTCCTACAATGATTCCACATCACAATTTCCCATCAATATTCAAATTAGTTACAGGTACATGAAAGTCTCCTACAATGATTCCGCATCACAATTTCCCATCAATATTCAAATTAGTTACAGGTACATGAAAGTCTCCTACAATGATTCCGCATCACAATTTCCCATCAATATTCAAATTAGTTACAGGTACATGAAAGTCTCCTACAATGATTCCGCATCACAATTTCCCATCAATATTCAAATTAGTTACAGGTACATGAAAGTCTCCTACAATGATTCCAAATCACAATTTCCCATCAATATTCCCATTAATAACAGGTACGTGGAAGCACCCTGCTATGATTCTAAAACATTCCTATCATTTATTTACATGTAAATGTTCTTATGTGCAAAATATTTCACCGTTTTATTGTTATATTGACAATATGTTGAATCAAGGAAAGTCATATGTTAGCTCTTGTGTCGTCGTGTCCGAGAGAAGCTCCTGCTGCGTGTGCGATACCTGGGTCTAGACCGACTGCGTGAGCGGCTGTACCGATAGTACGAGTCGTAACTACTGACTGAGCTCGGGGAGGGTGGGGCTGGCCGATAGTACGGTACTGGGCGTTTTCTGGCACTAAATGAAAATTAAAAGTAAATACATTATTGGCAAATAACCAAATTCTGCAAACTGTTACTTCATCTTCAAATTGTTTGACAGAAATAATATTCTCATATCTGATTATTTACACATAAAGGAAAATTTTACATGGAAAATAATGTGTTCAACAGTGTTTGTCAAAAGAATTTATCATATGATAACCACTGCTTCTCTCTATATTGTATTATGAACCTGTTTATAAATTAGTTTTAGCTCTGCTAGAGGCCCGCTAGTGAGGCTTAATAACATGGCATGGAAACTCATGCAAGGTTCTACATATATATATATATCTATATACCATCCACAGTAACATAAATATTTTACAAGAGTGTTAGTAGTCTGGAATCTGATCAAGAAGATCTGTTATTTGAAAAAATGGCATTAGGCAAATGGCATATCAATTCAACACATTAATCAATCATGATTTGAACATCACAGTGACGATCACATATTTTATTCACCATGATAGCACATATGTATGCTAAAAACATGTTATTGTATCAAGGATTTTTCTGTGTTTCCCTAAAATGGATACTGATGGTTTTTTCGTTTTACTGTTTCATTCTCATAATTTCTGTTTTATCATAATGTTGACATATTTCTTCAGTTATTCTAAATATGGCAGAGAAAGCACAATGCCAATTTATAACTGAAACACCACAAAATATGATTTTTACAGAGCAGTATAGAATACCTGACGATGTTTACAGAAGCATACAAGATTTTAATATTCTTACTGCTGTGTGCTAGTGTACCAATAGGCAGAAGTCTAGCAGCTGAAGGACACATACCTAGATGTGTGCAATTATTACTATCATCAAAAACATTCGACTAGAAACTAGAAATTCATTTTTTACGAAGCAAAACAAAGACAAGAAAAGAGTAGCACATTATCTTAAAGGGAATTTCACAGGTGCCAATACATTTAATCAAATGTTTTTGTGGAGATGAAAATTTGTGCTTTTACAGAAAACCACAACTTCACTGTTATTTGATTTCAACCAGAAGAAAAATTCATATGACACAAACAATGGACAGCAGACCACAGCTTGACTTTAAAACAAAAAAACAGATCACAGACAAGGGGTGATTTGATGAAGCTTGACTTTAAAACACAAAACAGACCACAGACAAGGGGTGATTTGTCATCATAATGATCAGGTAAAACACAGACAAGTGTTAATGAAACAAGGTCCCTTAACACATCGAGTCATTGTTACAAAGAAAAGCATGCAGAAATTAAGTTAGTGGTGTGAACGTTAATTTTCATGTTAGCATTGTGTAAAAGTTTTACTAATTTGGTGTGAGGGAGTGAGTTGAAAGGTAATTTTCATGTTAGCACTGTGTAAAAGTTTTACTAATTTGGTGTGAGGGAGTGAGTTGAAAGGTAATTTTCATGTTAGCACTGTGTAAAAGTTGTACTAATTTGTTGTGAGGGAGTGAGTTGAAAGGTAATTTTCATGTTAGCACTGTGTAAAAGTTTTACTAATTTGGTGTGAGGGAGTGAGTTGAAAGGTAATTTTCATGTTAGCACTGTGTAAAAGTTGTACTAATTTGTTGTGAGGGAGTGAGTTGAAAGGTAATTTTCATGTTAGCACTGTGTAAAAGTTTTACTAATTTGTTGTGAGGGTGTGAGTTGAAAGGTAATTTTCATGTTAGCACTGTGTTAAAGTTTTACTAATTTGGTGTGAGGGAGTGAGTTGAAAGGTAATTTTCATGTTAGCACTGTGTAAAAGTTTTACTAATTTGTTGTGAGGGAGTGAGTTGAAAGTTAATTTCCATGTTAGCATTGTGTAAAAGTTTTACTAATTTGTTGTGAGGGAGTGAGTGTAAGTACAGTGTAAAAGTTTAACTTTTATTATTGGTGTGAGAGTGTCAGTGTTAGCAGTGAATGAGATATATCTTTTATTTTATATTGATTTCCGTCTTTCATACAATGATAAAATCTGTTGTTATCAAACCTGTTACAGTAATATATTTTCAGTAAGATCTATCTGTCTCCCAATCTCTTACTATATATGTGTCACATCTGTGATACAATTTCAAAAGTGAACTTAAGTTAACGTATAATGAAAGTAAATTTGGTTAAAAATTTTTTCAAATTAGAACGCTTATGTAGCATGTTTTTCGTTCCTGTATTTATCCTCTAATGATTGGTTAGTATTTATAGTTTGACAGTTCGGATACATTCTGAAGCAAATCGTATATATATGATAATGCAGCAGTCAAACCCATTTGTCTGACATAGCAATGGACATGTAGCTCAATTCCTAGAAATATTAGTGTTTTAGCCTGGGGCACTTGTTAGTACAAGGCTATCTTCATTCAAGATATAAAGATGTACTCCATTCCAGGTAAAATATATACCAGACTGCTTAATTTTATGAGAGTGGCCTCCCCTGAATTGTCTCCTCACACTAGACCCCTGTAGTCAAGGTTACATCCAATTGTGTGAGATTGTACATTCCTGTCAGAATGTTGTGTCCTAAATATAGCAACAGGAAAATCAAAGAAAAAATATACAACATCCAACAAAAAAACATGAAGAAACAAAAACAACAAAAATTAAAAAAAAAATTGAACTATAGAAAATAGATATTTAAACAACTTAAAATTTAATTAAAAGAAAATATAAAAATTAAAATGAAATGACATGTTTGGCAATGCTATTGGAGTAAAGATGGTATCTAGAATATTGATACAGTTTCTCAATATAATAACATAAAAGTATTCACATAAAAAACTTGTACTGTTTGGTTCGTTTACACTACACATATTGATATTAAGTAAATATACTGATAACTTCAGCCCATACATATTACACATTCCTTTATTTCATGGAAGTGCGACCAATAATTGAATAACAAGCCAATATCTTGTAATAGAGGTGTGGTAAATTCTGCGTGGAATAACGATTCAAACGGGAGCATAAAATCCATTCTACGTACCTGGTAATACGTCGCTTCTCTAGGTGACTAGGCGAGCCCTTCCGACGTCGTATTGAGGGGCTCCGAGACATCCGGTGCCGTGACCTACTTCTTGATGCACTTCTGCTGTAACTACGGCGACGGCTGCGACTTCGAGACCTTGACCTCGACTTACTGTAACTGCGACTTCTCCTGAAACACAGACATGTTATATGTTATGGTTAATATTGAATACTGAGCTTTAAGTAACTGTCTTAAAAGTTTTCAAAAAATTTTCTATCATCAGGAAAGATTACTTTGCTTGTCATTATAGGAATCATTCAACAAATTAGCTCTACTGGAGAAATGAACTATTTTTGAAGTGATGGCCAAGAGAAAAACGAGAATCTGCATTATTACTATCATCCAATATTTTAGATGTGTGGCTACAATGAATTTTAGTTTTCTGGTCAATATCAAATTGTTAGCTGCAGGAGAAAGAGGATCTTGTGTACAAGTTCATTGGGGTCACTTCAGTAGGATTAGAGAAACATGATCACCTATTGCTTAGACCTGGACTGACTGACCGTATAACTGACCATGGATAGATGTCAGACCCTGACCATTTTAGAGTGCTCAACTGATCTGATGATATTGTAAAAAATAGTGACCAAACACAGTATTTCCTCTCAGTGATATCCCACATCTGATAGGCTCTATGTGTTAAAGACTGGCGTAGAGGTTTATCATCCACTTCACTAAAGAAATCTGTGTTTAACAGACACAAGAGGGGGCGACCTGTACCCCTGCCTGTTTTCAAGTTTTAAAACCTTATCCTATCATCTAATAGTGGCAGAAAATGCCTGTATAATTCTCTCAGTTCTAATTCTCTCAGTTCTAATTCTCCCAGTTCTAATTCTCCCAGTTCTAATTCTCTCAGTTCTAATTCTCCCAGTTCTAATTCTCCCAGTTCTAATTCTCTCAGTTCTAATTCTCTCAGTTCTAATTCTCTCAGTTCTAATTCTCCCAGTTCTAATTCTCCCAGTTCTAATTCTCCCAGTTCTAATTCTCTCAGTTCTAATTCTCCCAGTTCTAATTCTCTCAGTTATAATTCTCTCAGTTCTAATTCTCCCAGTTCTAATTCTCCCAGTTCTAATTCTCCCAGTTCTAATTCTCTCAGTTCTAATTCTCCCAGTTCTAATTCTCCCAGTTCTAATTCTCTCAGTTCTAATTCTCCCAGTTCTAATTAGGTTTTGATAAGAAGTGAAAGCAATGATGAACAGAGAATATATAGATATTTCTCATTTTAGAGTTCACTGGTCTGAACATAACAGAATATTTTGGTTCAGGCTTCCTAAATGATTCATAAAAATGATCTAAAATACAATTTGTAATATAATTATTCCAAAGAACAAAGAAATAGGTCACTCTGTTTTCTATAATCTAAAATCTATTCTGGTAATTGTCATTAAATAGGCTTTGATCAAAGAAGCATTGCACCTTTTTCTGTTTCTTGAATGTGTCCTTGATCTTGATCTTGAACTTGACTTGGTCCTGGAGCGTGACCTTGACCATGAAGAGGACTTGTGTCGGCGACTGCGTGACCTTGACCTTGAGGGCCGTGAGTGTCGAGGGACTGGGGAGGGAGATTTGTAAGTTAGTTTAGGAGAGGCAGCTGACTCCCTTGTCTTCTGACCTTCAGCAGGGGAGTAACTAAGAGACCGACTAAGGCGCTTGTGGGATGGATCTGGTGACCTGTAAAACATATCCATCATCAGCACTGGCTTTCTAAATGTTTGTCATCATTTACTGGTAGAAATACACAACAATACCCTATATCAGGAATAAATAGTGCACATCTAATTTTTACTAATTAAGCGGCCCTGTCAAAATCACTGAAATGAAAAGAGAAGAAGTTGAAAATGTTAAATTGTTCACTGATTTACAATGCCAGATAAAAGTGATTGCAAAAGGTCACAATGAGACTTTGTGACCTAAAAATCTATCAATTTCTATAGCATACATATATCTTTATTATGACAATTATTTTTCTAGACAAAAATATCTTGGCTTTAAAAATGATCTTCACTATGGCAATGAAAATCTCATGATATCATGACAACAGACATATATTTATCATGACAACAGACAAATCTTTATCCTGACAACAGACATCTTTATCATGACAACAGACATCTTTATCATGACAACAGACATCTTTATCATGACAACAGACAAATCTTTATCATGACAACAGACATCTTTATCATGACAACAGACAAATCTTTATCATGACAACAGACAAATCTTTATCATGACAACAGACATCTTTATCATGACAACAGACATCTTTATCATGACAACAGACATCTTTATCATGACAACAGACATATTGATACATGAGATCATGATACATCATTTGACATTCTTCTGATGACAAGAGACCTGACCTAGAGGAAGATGAGCTGGGACTTCGTTTGTGTTGTGAAGCTGTGTTATGGCCATTAGTTTTCAGTGTTTTCTTCCTGTAAGTAAAAACATACATTTAAATATTATAAGATAGGTGTGTCACATTGGTGTAACGTATGTGTTAAGGACCCTATACAGATTTACATGGCAAGCAAAGACAGAATTAGGATACTCTAAGTAATCCTGATGTGTAGATGCTTTTAAGCTAACCAGCCTGACAGGTAAGTTAGCTTATGTGATAGTGTGGCATCTGTCATTCCTCCGTTGTCAACAATTTACATTAGAAAACTTCTTCTCAATAACCAAGAGGTCCAGGATACTAATAATGGACTTGCAGCATGCTGGGGTGAAGAATTACCAAATTTATTCAAATGAATGACCTTGACCCTCTTTCAAGGTCACATATATCAATTTAGGTCAAATCTTCAAAATAACTTCTCAGTACGCACAGGAAACTAATATTGGGCATGTAGCACGATGAAATGAAGTTCTAACATGTTTGTAAATAAGTAAGTGAATGACTCGGACCCAATTTCAAGGCCACTAGGGTAAATATCTTTCAAATGTTATACAATTTGTTCTCAATATACAAGAGGCCTAGGTTGCTGATATTGGGCCTGTTGTATGCTGGGATAAGAGGCTGCCATGTTTGTTCTAATAAATAACCTCAACTTACGTTCAGGGTCACAAGGGTCAAATGATAAAACAACTTCGAAATAACTGCACTGAAATATGTCAGGGTCACAAGGGTCAAATGATCAAACAATTTCCAGATAACTGCACTGAAATATGATACAGTCAACTAAGTTACTTGGGAGAAGTTCAAGAATGTTTGTAAACCTTGATCTGCTTTCAAAAACACATGTGTTATGTAAATTTCACTTGATTTACTCTTTAGGTCATAACCAAAAAATGTGTTTGTGAGGGCGTTTTTTATCTTTTATTCATTATCTAATCTTTTTAGAGCAATTGAGTAATATTTTGATTTTACCAAATGATTTTTGTTTAAAAGTTTCTTAAATAAGGAAGGGTTGGAAGACAATCTATATATATATAGAATGAGAGGACAACGACCTTGGATATTAGTCACCAATAGACCAGTTACTCATAAAACAACGTAAACCCTACTTTCAGCACACTGACATATAGGTATGTCGATGAAGAGTTTTAAGGTTTGCTTTTAATAGCCACTCCCCTATCACATCAGAATCCAATTATACAGATTTTATGCATAGATATATTATGTGAATTCTGAAATGATTTTTTTATAGAGAACGATAAGGAAGTGAACAAGATCTTGATTGTATTGTCACACGAAAATCCTTGACATCTAGACATCAGACAATTACAACACCTAGACCCGACCTAGACAGTTGTAGAGCTACAGAACAAATAGCAATGTGTGGACAACCTGTGAGTTATATACCACAGTGTTATATCCCTTCATCAACCATTCTTAGCTCAGAAGAGCTCAGGTTTTGGCACTTCACCTATCACCCATTTGTGTGCCATATTTAAGGCGAAGTCAACTTTTCCTCTTTAACAATTTCTTTCTGAATAAGAAAGAGGCACAGTGTCCTATTACTGGGACACTAGCATGCTTGGATAAGAGGCACAGTGTCCTATTACTGGGACACTAGCATGCTTGGATAAGAGGCACAGGGTCCTATTACTGGGACACTAGCATGCTTGGATAAGAGGCACAGTGTCCTATTACTGGGACACTAGCATGCTTGGATAAGAGGCACAGTGTCCTATTACTGGGACACTAGCATGCTTGGATAAGAGGCACAGGGTCCTATTTCTGGGACACTAGCATGCTTGGATAAGAGGCACAGGGTCCTATTTCTGGGACACTAGCATGCTTGGATAAGAGGCACAGTGTCCTATTTCTGGGACACTAGCATGCTTGGATAAGAGGCACAGTGTCCTATTACTGGGACACTAGCATGCTTGGATAAGAGGCACAGGGTCCTATTTCTGGGACACTAGCATGCTTGGATAAGAGGCACAGCGTCCTATCACTGGGACACTAGCATGCTTGGATAAGAGGCACAGGGTCCTATTTCTGGGACACTAGCATGCTTGGATAAGAGGCACAGCGTCCTATCACTGGGACACTAGCATGCTTGGATAAGAGGCACAGCGTCCTATTTCTGGGACACTAGCATGCTTGGATAAAGAGGATGTCACCAACTCCCAACGTCACAAGGGCCAAATTTCTACAAATTTTTAATCAACTTCTTCTGAATAACCAAGCTTCCACGCATCCTCATATTACGTTAGAGGTATGCAGAGATAAAGGGATACAAAGTAGAATTTGATAGATAATTTTGACACACTTTCAAGGGCATAGATCTTTGATTATTGTGTAATAGCAAAAATGCAAAATGGTCTTTCTGAAATAAAGTTTGCAAAAATTGATTTAACCGACAGCCTCTAGGATGCAGGCCTATTGTGCCTCATGTATCTCAGACCTCCTTATTAGCTTGTCGTCCTGTCCAGAGCTATAATAAAGTACATTCCCCCACCAGGGTCAAATGTCGAGACATAGATACTTTATTTTTGTTATAAAATATCTATATAAGTCCATCATTTCAGGGTAGTGGTTTGAGACACCTAAAAGCAATACTTCCATATAACCTTTATGATTTGACAAATTCCCCAGGTGGTAAGGGGTGATAGAGAATGATTAATGACACAGCCACTCACTGTTCCTCTTTAGTAAAACCAGAAAATGGCAGTAAGGTGTGAATGAACTTGCTCCCGTTCATAATGTGACCTTTGACCTTTTAACTTTAACTGAATACCAACAAGATTTAAACAAACGTAGCACTGAATCTTAACAGGACAAGACCGATGGACATGGTTAGAACTATATACCCATCCACCCTCTCAAAAAAAAAAAAAAAAAAATGAAAGAAAAAACAAAAGGGGCATAATGTAACATTGTACTTCCAATGAAGTTAGAGATAAGTTGTTGGCAATACCTTATTAAGTGTAATCAAACAAGAGGCCAAATAGGCCTGCACAGCATGATTATTTTGTCGCTTAATTTGGTGGAAGTTTAAGGATGAAAACTTTTCATGTTTATCACAAAACTGATATTTCCTCTTTCCAATAAAAAAATCATTATCCTAGGCCCATTGGTTAATTATTCAACAGAAATTTTAAAAGATCTTTTGACAGCTGTGATCTTGAAAATAGGTCACTGTCATTCATTTCAACAAACTTGGTGTCCTTTACCCTCATGTGATACTGGTTCAATATGCTGGTTCCTAAGCCTTTTGGTTATTCAGAAGGATAATTTAAAGGTAAATACTGATTCCAAATGAACAACAAAAAATAACACTGTGTACTAATCTCACTTAGCTTTTAAGCTGTAGAGGTAAAAAGGCTACCTTAGGTTTGGACTGCGGGAGCTATCTGATGAAGATGATGGTGACCTCCTTGTAACCTTAGGAGACTTTGACCTTGACCTCGTGACTTTTTTGGCTATTAAAGTTTCTGGCAGGTGACTTGGGCTGATTGAACTCTTCTTACTCTTTTCTGTTTGTTTTACTTTTTCAACATCAAATGCCGAACTGTAACGAAACAAGGAAGTATTAATAATCATCAAAGCGACTCTCGTCTGCATGCACAGGGATCTTATACAATTGTTAACCTTCAATGAGGTCAAAGCACTTAACCCTTTCAGTGCCAATTTATCTCTTACAATGTACAGCTCAGAGCCAAATATTTTCCGGAAAATATCAGAAAACGTCGGAAAAATTGTCGACCGAAGTCACCTATGGCGGCCTGTCTGCATCTCGACTTTAGTCACCTACGGCGCTGAAAGGGTTAAATGTTAACCTGAGAAAATTTGTACAACAATATTGGCCTCAATAGACAATAACCCTGTACACATTATATCAAATATGAAATTTATTACAATGCTACATCTTACAAAGTTCTCTTCTCTTGTGATCTGTGTCAGAGGAGAAAGCAGTGTTGCCTAATTCTACTCTCTAATATTTAGTCATAGCCCATCAAAATCAAGGGTGACAGGGTGTTTTAAAAAGTCATCAAGGAAAAAGACCTTATAATCAATTCTATTGTATATAGCTATCACATCTGCATGAATCCAAATGATTTTCTCTGTAATGTTTGAATATTATTTTGACTATATAAGATCTAAAAAAAAAAAATCAATTTGAAACTTCACATACTGATCGGAAGTAAAGAAATATCAGTGATAAAGTTGGTGACATTGAACCTACAGTAATTTCCGCCCCCACAAACTTCTATTCCCCAACTCCCATAGTTGTAAACTATCGTGGGTGTCAGGCAAATGACGTCCATCCAATACACACTTTACACCAGAAATCATACAAAATGCATATCATTCAGAATTTAGATGACAAATATTTCTCGTGTTACATCTTGCTGATTACCAAGACTGTGTACAATGTCACTTTATCATTGCCATGGTGACGTCAGTGATGCTCCAATCAAAGTTTCGAGATGCGGGACGTAACAAAATTGCCATAAAAATAGATGGCAATTAGTCGCACTTCCCGCATTGTTATGTTTCTAAACGTCTGGGGACTTAATTAGAGCAGCTCCAGTGTACAAACAGCCACAGCTTGGGATAACGGCCCTGGCCTCTGTCACAGCATACACTTAAGTGAGCGGTGAGAGTAACTGACATTCCAGGTATAAAGAGCATCAGATTATTGATATTACAAGTCTTACTTAACGAATACTGCTGATTCTGATAAAGTCTTGTGGTCAATTGCTTTAGTACTGAGAGTAGTTTAAAAGTCAATGATCCTAAAGACTAGTAAATGTTTGTAAGACACAACCATCCATGCTCCGATGCATAAACGTATTATTGTTTGATGAAATGTGACCTTTGACCCTGTAACGTGACCTTTGACCCTGTTACCTTGACTCGTGGTGACCATCTTTACATAAGGTGGAACTTGATGCTATGATACTATTGGTTAGTGAATCCATTGCCAGTTTCTGAATGAATGACAATGAGTTGGAACTTGGAAGAATGGGGTGGGTGGACATGGGTAACACTGTATGATCCCGTCCACCAAATAGATATGACATAAACACTTAAGGATGCAGGAAAGACTTAAGCTCACTTAGCCTGAAAGTATACATAAAAGTCAGGAAAAGTAATAGATTGTACATTGTCACTTCTTTTTTTTTATGTCCATTTCAATCAAATATGATAACAGACCCCTTGTTACTAAAGAACCAACACATTTCAAATATATCTACATTGTGTTCAAGTGTACCCACACTGTGTTCACATTTACCCACATTGTGTTCAAGTGTACCCACACTGTGTTCACATTTACCCACACTGTGTTTAAGTGTACCCACACTGTGTTCACATTTACCCACATTGTGTTCAAGTGTACCCACAATGTGTTCACATTTACCCACATTGTGTTCAAGTGTACCCACACTGTGTTCACATTTACCCACATTGTGTTCAAGTGTACTCACACTGTGTTCACATTTACCCACATTGAGTTCAAGTGTACCCACACTGTGTTCACATTTACCCACATTGTGTTTAAGTGTACCAACACTGTGTTCACATTTACCCACATTGTGTTCAAGTGTACTCACACTGTGTTCACATTTACACACATTGTGTTCAAGTGTACTCACACTGTTCACATTTACCAACATTGTGTTCAAGTGTAATCACATTGTGTTCTACCCACATTGTGTTCAAGTGTATCCACACTGTGTTCACATTTAGCCACATTGTGTTCAAGTGTACTCACATTGTGTTCTACCTACTATGTGTTCAAGTGTACCCACACTGTGTTCACATTTACCCACATTGTGTTCTACCCACATTGTGTTCAAGTGTATCCACACTGTGTTCACATTTAGCCACATTGTGTTCAAGTGTACCCATACTGTGTTCACATTTAGCCACGTTGTGTTCAATGTACCAACACTGTGTTCACATTTACCCACATTGTGTTCAAGTGTAATCACATTGTGTTCTGCCCACATTGTGTTCAAGTGTACCCACATGTGTTCACATTTAGCCACATTGTGTTCAAGTGTACCCACATGTGTTCACATTTACCCACATTGTGTTCAAGTGTAGCCACACTGTATTTAAATGTACAAACACTGTGTTTAAACATACCAACACTGTGTTCAAATGTAGACACACTGTATTTAAATGTACAAACACTGTGTTTAAACATACCAACACTGTGTTCAAATGTAGCCACACTATGTTAAATGTACAGACATTGTGTCCAAATCCCTCTTTGTTCAAATCAATAAACATGAGAAAAAATTGTTCTAGAAATGATTTTAAGTTGAATTAATCACTTTTTGGTCTCCTATCAGTTCTGTAACATTCTAATGATGACTACATGAAGCTGGGGTGGCCGTGTAGAAACATGGCGATAATAAACGTATAATTGGCTAAGCAGTTGAGCTTCAGCAGCTACACAACAACACTACATCTGATTGAATGAAAAAAATATTTTCAAACATAGATTTTCATCAATTACTTCATCAATAAAAATAACTTTCCGTATTCTGGCACAAAAAAGAAGGTTGATAATGAACCCATAATTTTCAATTTCATTTTTCCAAAATCAAAACATTTTAAGACTAACTGAGAATGGGGTTGGGTCTATAACTGCATGATAAATCACCAATTTATCTCCCCTTGTTAATGATAGTTATATTGGATATGGAAATATCAAATTATTTTTGAAATATATATGGCATATTTGTATCAATAGAACTAGTAACTCATAGCAATCCAATTAAAGCAGTATAATGGATCGCAGAAACGGGTCACACAGAGGGGCCCCTGTGATGATGAGATCCCAGTACATGTATCTATCTCAATTACAGTCAATGTAACCCTCGCTTACAAATAGTAAACACACTCATCAGTGGAACAAGCATTAACCTTCATCAAATTTTGCTGTTCTACTCTCAACAATCGTCCAATATAATTCAACAGACTCATACTCAGCCATTTTCTCATGCATTGTAATCGGCTGCAGGAGTCTGAGGCTCATGGCATAGTAAACAATCCCAGGTACACAATGTTTTAACATGTACAAGGATATAATTGTCTTAATATGAACCCTTCATAACATCTGTGTATAAAATATCTTAATGACAATGCTGTGTCTGTACAAGGATATAAAATATCTTAATGACAATGCTGTGTCTGTACCAGGGTATAAAATATCTTAATGACAATGCTGTGTCTGTACCATGGTATAAAATATCTTAATGACAATGGTGTGTCTGTACCAGGATATAAAATATCTTAATGACAATGGTCTTTCTGTACTGGGGTATAAAATATCTTAATGACAATGGTCTGTCTGTACCAGGATATAAAACATCTTAATGACAATGGTCTGTCTGTACTGGAGTATAAAATATCTTAATGACAATGGTCTGTCTGTACCAGGCTATGAAATATCTTAATGACAATGCTGTGTCTGTACCAGGCTATAAAATATCTTAATGACTATGCTGTGTCTGGACCGGAGTATAAAACATCTTAATGACAATGGTCTGTCTGTACCAGGCTATAAAATATCTTAATGACTAGGCTGTGTCTGTACCAGGCTATAAAATATCTTAATGACAATGCTGTGTCTGGACCGGAGTATAAAACATCTTAATGACAATGGTCTGTCTGTACCAGGCTATAAAATATCTTAATGACTAGGCTGTAGAGATACCTGGCTATGAATTACATTACAGTACTTCAATGGTGTTGGGACATTCTCTGATAGACAGGTCTACTTCTGTCTATTTAACACATAATTCTGATTTGATATTCTAATGTGATCTGAAAATCTAAACTGAAAACTTCATCACCAAATTCTACAGTACCAATATATTTCCCAAAAGACCTGTATACTTATCATCACCTTGGTAAGTGTTTGAAGACAGCATTTCAAAATACTTACAGAATGACATTAGGTCTGAAGTTGTGACAAACATTAACTACAACCCAACAGAACAAAAGAAAAGTAAACAACAAATTCTTTAAAAAGCACATGTAAAATATCATATATCCAGATGTTCCAAGAGGGTTAGCCTCTTCTGCTTCAACCACAACATTAGTCATGTAAATATTCATCAATCTCATGATGTAATGCTCCAAAACTGAAAACCACAAGTACAACAGACAAGAGGCCTTACAGCCTTGATGTCATCTAAGGTAAACGTTATTGAATATAAAGTTTATAGAGTAAGAAATTGCGACTATGATGATAATAAGACTGGGGAGATGTGATTTAAGTAACAGATTAAACAAATTACAAATATGTAATTTTCCATTATCAATTACAGTAAATTTCATCCCCTCCCTAAGGGGAAATATGAGATCCTAACAGTCATGAGATTCCCAATTCTGGTAAAACACCTGAAGATCCTTCCATCGATCAAGAGTATGGATTCTCAATTATTTGGTTGTTGAGAAGAAAACTTTTTGAAATTGGAGCCAATTTAACACCCTTTGGCTCCACCTTTCAGGCCTCTGGGGGTGAGGACCATATAGTTCAAAGTTTTG